CCATCCCGTTCCCCCCTTTCCCCATCCCGTTCCCCCCTTTCCCCATCCCGTTCTCCCCTTTCCCCATCCCGTTCCCCCCTTTCCCCATCCCGTTCCCCCCTTTCCCCATCCCGTTCCCCCCTTTCCCCATCCCGTTCCCCCTTTCCGCATCCCGTTCCCCCCTTTCCGCATCCCGATCTCCCTTCCCTCGTTTCCCTCTCTTCTCTCCCGCCCCTCGTTTCCCTCTCTTCTCTCCCGCCCCTCGTTTCCCTCTCTTCCCTCCCTTCCCTCGTTTCCCTCTCTTCCCTCCCTTCCCTCGTTTCCCTCTCTTCCCTCCCTGCCCTCGTTTCTCTCTCATCCCTCCCTTCCCTCGTTTCCCTCCCTTCCCTCCCTTCCCTCTCGATACCGTGTTTTCATGGCTATACTTTCTCAAACCGTGATTCTCTTGCAGGCGGGGTGACTCCAACTCCGCACATTGTACCGCCTGCGCCAATCCTCACACATCAAAGCCACCTCTCCACCCAGTCCCACACTAGTTTCATTCTCGTCTCCAACAGCTCTCACATCCACATCCCCTTGATCGATTTCTGTGCTTGTGTTGCAGGTGGGGTGCCTTCCTGACAGTACATCCTACTATTTGCACCTCACAAGCAACCTACGTGCCAGCAATCTGGGCATGGATAGGCCGCGATGGCAAAGTGTATGGCAGGGGATCGTGGCAACCTCCCTTTCATCCCTTTTCTCCCTTTCCTCCCTTTTCTCCCTTTCCTCCCTTTTCTCCCTTTCCTCCCTTTCCTCCTTTCCCTCCCTTCCCTCCCTTCTCTCCCTTCCCTCCTTTTCTTCCTTTCCTCCTGCCTCCCTGCTATACTATTCCCTCTTGTTACCTTCCCTGCAATCCCTCCAACGCTGAAAGCGATCTCAATGTGCTTCTCCTCACATGCCTTCCAAAGCCTGATTCCCTTCTCCTCACTTCTCCCCCTCATTCCCCCCACCCCCCCCGACCTGATTCCACTCATCGCCTCCCCCCTCCCACCCCCCCCCCCCCCCCCCCCCTGATTCCCCTCATTCCCCCCCCCCCCCCCTCGACCTGATTCTCCTCATTTCCTCCCCCCTTGATTCCCCTCGTTTTCTCAATGATTCCCCTCGTCACAGCTTGTGGTTGAATCATTACCGTTTTCTTATCAGGATTCTTTCCCCTCCCCTTACTATTTCAGTGACTGACTGCTCTGAAGATTTCAAGCTTCAACACGCCTCAGCCAATCATCTCATGTCAAAGCAGCTAATATTTGTTGCCAAAGGCATAGAGAAAGGGTCAATAGAACGACATTGCTCCTCTTGGTCTTTGCCTACAGTATAAAGTTATGTGAGGACATGCTTCTTTCTACCCGTATGGGATGTGACACCTGTTAGTGCATCTTGGAAGGATATTGCACTGCTGAATCGTGGTAGTACATAGTAGGCTTCATGATGCATGTCTCTAAGATTAACTCACTACCATACTTGCATTACAACGCACACGAGACAAAACAAAAGTGGGGGCAAACATCCACCAGCTATGCCTCTGCTTGTAATTGCTGCCCTCTGTTTCAACACAGCCAATTAGCAGAGCAGGCAAAAACGATTGTGTAAGGCCCAATGGGAAGGTGCTGTGAGGCAGAAGGGGAGAAGCAACAAAGGAATTCAAGAAAGTAATGGCACTTCATGCACAAGAACTTGAGGGTAGACGGTGGCGAGTGATGTGGGAGGGGTGGGCATGCAAGGGACGGGAAGGGAGAAGGGATGGAAAGGGAAGGGTGGAGCAGGGAAGGGAAGGGCAGGGGGGTGGGAAAGGAAGGAAGGTCAATGAAGGGAAAAGCAGGAAAGAAGAGGATGAATTGGGCGGACTGGCTTCGTGTAATAACGCAGGCGGCAACCCCGACTAGGCCACGAACTCGTCGGGATGTAACGCACTGCTTCACACACACTCGCAACAGCGCAGTGGTGCTGGCCACCAGGACACGACACGGGAGGGGAGGCGCGAAGCAGGGAGAGGAGATGCGAGCACAGGGAGAGCGAGTGAGGAAGGCAGGGAGAGCGGTGATGGGAAGGAAGGGATGGAAGATGGGAAGGCAGGGTTGCGTGTGAAAAGATGAGAGCAAGTGTGAGGAGCAAGAACGCGGGATTACGACACTAGGAACAAATAGCCGGCATGCTCACTGCCATGTCAGCCTGCATGCCGGCAACTGCTGACGTGGCAGCAGTGGTGGCGGAAGGGGCGGCAGCGGCAGCGGCGAGGGTGAGCGAGGTGAATTGGGCCACTGCTGTAGCCGTGTCCCTGTCTGTATCTCGAGTGACTGAGGAGGCCCAAGGGGTCATAACGGGCGGCAGGGTGCGGCACGAGGTGGGTTGCCTCTTCAGCGAGCTATGATTGACCGTTGATGAGAGCCAATTGCAAGGCCGACAGCCAGCGCTATGGTGTCAAACACGTGCTTCACCTGCAGTAGTGGGCAGAATGGCACGGTGGGGGCAAGGAAGGGGAGAGACGAAGAAGGGGACAGCAGGATTGTATGTTGGGCAGAAGGACAAGTTAAGTTGTGGGCTAATGGTGGGAGAGGAGGGTTGACGGTTGACGATAGGGTACCAGGGGGGAAAAAAACCAGAAAGGATGGGAGAAACAGAGTGTAAGCTGGAGGGGAAGGAAGAGTGAGCATGGGGGAGGAAGGCTAGCACGGGGGTAACGAAATGGTAAGCAAGGGGGGACCCTAATGAAGAGACGGGGGGAAAATTAGGGGAAGGATGGTGGAAAAAGAGGGGAAGAAAAAACGAAAAAATGATGGGAAGCAGGGAGGAAAGGCGGGACAGAGAGGAAGAGGGGAAGTGCGGACGAGGGAGTAGGGGCAAGGGAGGAGATTGGTCGGGGTAGGGAACAGGGGGCTAGCAAGGGGGAAAACAAGGGGCTAGAAGAAGATTGGACGAGAGAGAAGATGGCAGGGAGGAGATTTGACGGGGAAAGAGAGGGACGGGAGGAGATTGGACGTGGGAGGAGAGTGAAGGAACGAGAGGGGATGGAGAGGAAAAGGGGCAAGCAGAGTGGGGGAATGAAGGTAAGGGGGGGAAACGGGGAGGAAAAGGAGGGGATTCAGGGGGGGGAAGGAGGAGATGCAGTGCAGGGGGAGAAAGGAGGGGATGCCGGGAGGGAAAGGAGGGGAAACAGGGAGGGAAAGGAGGGGAAACAGGGAGGGAAAGGAGGGGAAACAGGGAGGGAAAGGAGGGGAAACGGGGAGGGAAAGGAGGGGATGCAGGGGGGTGCGTGCATGCCGGCGGAAAAGGGAGTGCATGCGGGGCTAGTGAATGCGCGCGGGGGGAGCGAGTGAGCGCGGGGGGAGCGAATGGAGCGAGTGCGCGCGGGGGGAGCAAATGGAGCGAGTGCGCGCGGGAGGAGCGAGCGCGCGGTGGGGGAGCGAGTTCGAGCGAAGGGAGCGAGTGAGCGCGGGGGGATCGAGTGCGCGCGGGGGCAGCGAATGCGCGCTGGGGGAGCGAGTGCGTGCGGGGGGAGCGAGTGCGTGCGGGGGGAGCGAGTGCGCGCGGGGGGAGCGAATGCGCGGTGCAGGAGCGAGTATGCGCGGAGCGAATGCGCGCTTGGGAGCGAGTGCGCGCGGAGGGAATGCGGACGGGGAAATGCGGACGGGGGAACGCGGATGTTGGCGGATGTGGGCGGCGGAAAGCTCAGAAGCGCGCTGGCGGCTGCTAGCGTTGCTGGCGGCTGCAGTAAGCTGGCTAGCGGGACGCGCGGTTCTGAATGGCACTTCGCATCCGCGCGCGCGCATGGGACAGCGTGATGTTTGCTGCACCGCAAGCGTCACACGCGCTCGCTATGCAGCCGCGCTTCGCGTTGCAGCGGGCGTTTTATAGGCGCATTTATTGCACGAGGATTGGTATCCCCGCGCTGTGCTGGAGCGCGCGGAATGCCTAAATATGCGTCGGAAGTGACGCTGGCGAAACGACAGCATAGATGCAGTAGGCAGGCTGGCGGGGCGCACGCATCTGGCGAACGTTTCCCTGGCGCGGGCGTGCCTGCAATTAGACCCTTTGCTTCCGCGCGAGCGTACCTGGCGCTCGATGTGCTGGCGCCCGCCTATGCCTGCACGTGTCGCGCTGCTATGCTCTGCTGATGGTGCAATTCTGTCGCGCGCTGGTGGCCTCGAACTTTCTAGGTCAACTGCCGGCTTGTTCTAACTATCCATTGGCGAGCGATTATTCTTTGAAGTGAGAGGAAGCGTTGTGTTGCGAGAGCAGAAGTGATACCGTTGGGTTTTGTGCTCTCAACTTCCCCACCCCTGCTTCTCTCACAGACCCTTCGAGTCGGACTTTCGCGAACACATTCGCCACTCTGTTTTTTATTCGTTCAGGCGAAAAAGGTCTGTGCACTGTACACACCCAAACAGTTCTGCCAAATGTATACCGCCGCTTTAACAGGATTCTTTCCGATCAAGTATCACCGCCGTATGTGCATGGCGATGCGCATTTGACCATCCCAGTACCGCCTCTCCTCCTCAAGCCTCCTCTTCTGCTCCTCGTCTCTTCTGGCCTTCCATTCCTCTGGTTGCCTGCAACGCATGGTACAACAGCACAAGGCAAATGCCAAGGTTAGCATTGGCAGACAGAGAACTTGGAGGCCAGGGCAAACGGCCAGAATTCTCCTACCCTGCCACTCCTCTGGCTGTTCTGATCCCTCCCTAGGCTGTATGTACGAAGGGTATAACGCATGCCGCAGGGCCAAGGAAAGCAGTGGCAGGCAGGAACTGTAAAGAGCACGGCTAACAGCCAGACCAGTCATGCCCTTCCACTCCTGTCGCGTCTCCGGTCCCTCCTGTGGCTGCCCCCAGTGCAGGGTGCAACACAAGCGCCAGGGCCAAGGGAAGCATTCGCTGACAGGGAAGCCCCTGCTGGCGGCACAGCGGGCACGTGATGTGGGGCGATGCGGAGCCGAGGCCAAAGAACACCGGCACATGCGCCAGTAACCCTACCTTGGTGGTAACCCTACCGTGCCATGATGAGTCTGTGAAGCTCCTTCAGAGTTCGGGGTTGCCGAAACACCCCCTGCTGGCAGCACAGCGGGCACGTGATGTGGGGTGATGCAGAGTCGAGGCCAAAGAACACCGGGAGAAGACCGGCACAAGAAGACCGCGACAGAAGATGTGCGTGCAGGCGAGGGAGACTGGGTCGAATGGGACCTCCTGGGGGTGTGGGTTGAAGAAGAGGGGGGTGCATGCATACAGATGACATGAGAGAAGGAAGAAGACCGGCACGCGGGTGACAGAGCACGCGCAGCTGCAGCAGACGATGTGCGTGCAGGCGAGGGAGACAGGGTCGAATGGGACCTCCTGGGGAAGTGGGTGGGTGTATGGGTGGGTGGGTGCATATGGGGTGTGGGGTGAGGCAGAGGGGGACTTGAGACTTGAGCGCCCAAAGAACACCGGCACGTGGGCCATGGAGCAAGCACAGGCACGGCAGAAGATGTGCATGCGGCAAGGGAGATGCGGTCGAAGGGGACCTCCTGGTGGGTTGGGTGTGTGGTGTGAGATAGAGAGGGATGCATGCAAGTTCGGGACTTGAGGCCAAAGAACACCGGCACGTGGGCCGCCAGGCAGACGGGGCAGGTGACGTCCACCTTTGCTCTGAACTCCGCCTTCAGCAACAGCTCCGAGCCGAGGAGAGGACACACACACATGACACTGCAACGCCACACCCCTGCGAGACACTGAAGACTGAATGCACACCAGGCAGACGGGGCAGGTGACGTCCACCTTTGCTCTGAACTGCGCCTTCAGCAGCAGCTGCGAGCCGAGGAGAGGAGCAGGTGAGAGCCAAGCAAGGCAACAAGACTGCACGGCAACACTTGGGTCTCACCAGGCAGACCGGACACGTGACGTCCACTCTCGCCCTGACCTCCGCCTTCACCAGCAGCTCTGAGCCGAGGAGCAGAGCAGATGAGATGCGGCAACGTGACACCTTCACGGCACAGCACAGGCAAGAGTGATCGCACAAGGCAACAAGGCTGGGAGTCGACGGTAGGCTAACTCACCAGGCAGACCGAACTCCGCTTTCAGCAGCAGCTCCGAGCCGAGAAGAGCCGAGCAGAGGAGCAGGTCAGCGAAGCAAGGCAACAAGGCTGGGAGGCGACGGTAGGCTCACTCACCAGGCACACGGGGCAGGTGACGTCCACTCTCGCCCGGAACTCCGCCTTCAGCAGAAGCTCCGAGCCGAGGAGAGGACACACTGACGCTATATCGCCACTCCCCTGCGCTCCACTCTTCTCGGCGCCTCTCTCCCCTCGTGGCCCCATCCGCTCTGCTCCGCACGCCTTCATGCTCTCCGTTCCCCTCTTCCGTCCATTCCTTCCTCCTCCGCCCTTCTCTCCTCCTACTCCTCCTCCCAACCCTCCGCTCTCTCCTCGTCGTCCCCCTCCTTGCCCCACTCCCCCTTTCTCCCCATCGCGAGCTCTAGATTGACCGCCATCGCAGTGACCTCAATGAGCAACGGTGACCGTACGATTCGCCCCTGGAGGCGCCTCACCTGCGTGACGCGCTCCCACAGTTCCGGCGAAGCGAGTTCGCTGAGACTCGATTTGCGGTGTACCTTGATGTATTTCTTGAGGATTTTATGCGTAGCGAGGAAGCTTATAGCGAGGTGTTCCAGCAGGCTGGTCGCTGCATGGTGGAGGGCTGCTGGCTTGTGCGAATGCCAGCACGGATTCCTGCCACCGTGTCCGCCCGCAGAGAAGAGCTGACCTGGCGAGAGCACGTGGAACATGAGCTGGAGCCCTCTCGCGTTGTGACAGCTCAGCAGCCGCGTGGCAGCGGAATTAAAGCTCCTCTCGATACTAATAAGTTCCGCTTCTAGCAACCCGAAAAACTCCGCGTCGCACCGTGCGCAGCCACTGGCGCTGGCGTCCGCCACTGCTGCCGGCGCGTATTCCTCCGCCACCGCCGCGGGTAGAAATGCTAGGGGCGCTGCTGGCGCGGAAACTTCCCCGCGCGCGCATGACGAAAATGCGCAGTTCTCCGCTGAATGCTTGAGGCCCGCCACTTCTTGCCCCGCCACTCCCAGGGCCGCTGTTGCTGCCGCTCCGGCGCGGAAAGCTCCCCGCGCGCGCAAAATGTTACTGCGCAGTTCACTGCGGCGGAACGCCGCTTGAGCTTGGGCGGAGCAGCACCTCCACTCGCCGCGTCCGCCGCTCCCCTCCATGCATCCGCTTCCACCCGTGCGGCTTCCGCGGCCCCGTCCGTGTGCAACTCCGCCTCCGCCGCGTGCGGCTCCGCTTCTTCTGCGCGCAACTCCTCCTCTTCCGCGTGGAGCTCCGCCTGCGCGTGCAGCTCCGCGCGCAACGCGTGGGAGGAGATGCAGCGGCGGAGAATCTTCTTGAGCGCGCGGTAGTCCACCTGCGGGAAGCGCGCGGGAAGGTCTGGGGGAAGGGAGGGGGAGGGCGGGCAGTGGGGGAGGAGGGATGAGAGAGCGGAGGAGAGAGCAGGCGAGATTCAGAGTGGCAAGGCGGACATTTTCAAGTTCCTGAAGCACCTAACTTGAGCTTTTCCTAAAACTACTACCGTTCCTAGTACCTGTCGACTCTTGCAGGCAGACTTGATAGCTCGCGAATTCTTTGCCGAATTTCATGGCGACGGGCTCCGTTTCGCGCTTGAGCGACCCGAGACTATCACGCGGGCGGTTCGAAGACTGCGCGATATCAACGTCGCACTACGACGCTAGAGTTTCCCCAGCAGGAACATCACGGCATGAAATGATCCAAAGACCAGAACATGCGCACGCAGAACTACTGAGAATTTAAATGGAAAAAAGGCACTCATAATAGTCTGAACTGAACGGGATTTGCATGAAATGAAGGCAAGAAGGCATAGGAGGTTTCATTCACCAAGCCGCCAGTTTCCAACGAGATTCAGGAATTTGGTTGCATGTTTCGCTCCTGGTTTAGTGTGGATGCGTATGGAACTTGTTTCATTGCATATGCGTTACCCGTGCTACGTAACCTGGTTTTCGTCAAGTCTTCGTTTACGGCGAAGCTGTTCGAAGTGACACACATATCGGCCAATGAGCTGTGTGCGACAGGTATCCGTACTTGGCGAGTGGCGGTTGGAGGGCAGCAGGTGAAGCGACGCACATCGAATCCGCGCAGCTGACCTTTCCACGGCAGACAGTTGCGGTTCTGGCAGTCAGCCGCAACCGCAATGCAACAGCTCTGTGAAGTAAACTGGACAGCCACGCGAAGGGATGGGGCAGTCGTACACCCTAGCAGCCGAACCAAATTCACTGGATATTCAGCGACCCTGTGATTAGTCCAGCTTTCGTTGACGTGGCATGCCCGTCCCATCAAAAGTGACGCTGATTCGATCGCTGAGGTGTTTTCCTGCGTGAATGAATATTCAGCGCAGGCAAAGTGATAAGCTGCTGAGTCAGCGTAGCCTTGCTTTCTTTGCACGTTCCCCAATACGGAAGCCGAAGAAGTCAGCTGTTCCCCGCCACGTCGTCGAGTCATGATGGCGCCATACAAGCCGGAGCATACCTGACAATCTCAAAGCAGACACACCAGACCGCAGCAAACCCCCGAACCTAGCCAGCCAAGCAAAACCAAGACCGACGCCACGTGAACCGTTGAAATTTGGCCCCTCATACCGCAAATCACGGCAGCTAATTGTCCAAACGAGAATGTCCAAACCGGAAAACGTGGCTCGTGATTGGGCGGACATTTGCGATAAGACTGTTCATTGGCTGTTGCCAAACTGCTCATCTGCCACAGAAAGAGCAGGAGGTAGGTGTTTCCCCCCTGACTCCTCCTGAGCCCCCCTGACCAGGATTCTTCACGGTTCTTCTTCAGATCAGATTTCACTTCTCCAGCTTCCACTTCCAGTTTCCACTTTCTCCATTAGACGTTCTCTCTATCAGTTCTGAGTCCTGTCACCAATTAGTTTCAGTCTGGGTTCCAATCACATCTCACCATATCTATGATCCTTTGCCCACGCTAGTCTTGTCCATTAGGCGACAACAGCCCTGAAGCGGAAGAGCAGTGGAGATATAGTGTGAAACTTGCAATCATCGACGTTCAGATCGATCTGACCAGTTACTGCGAAGCATTGCGAGACCACACTTTTCAAAGGGGAGGCAGGACTTAGCTGGCTGTCGTCGTGGTTTAAAGACGTCTTAAGTTCGTTCCTATAAGGCTTAAGAAACAACCATCTGTCGCCAGCATGAAATTCGGCAAGACTTTCCAGAGTTACCAAACTCGTTTGCACGAGTCATCAGGTAGACGGATTTTCAGATTGCGATAACCTCACGAGCTCCACCCTCGACTTATCCCACCGCGTTACTAAGAATCTTACACTGTTTGGAATATTCCTTCTCGTCCGCTTCACTCGTTCGCTTCTGTCCTCCGTGCAAAAAGTGGAGAAATCCCTTCCAGGTCTCCTCATGTTGATTACCGAGCTTTCTTTTGAGTCGACTTAAAGTCACCTCGTCATATTCCATTCTGTTCGCTTCTGTCCTCTGCGCAAAAATGCAGAAATCCCATCCAGGTTCGCTCAGGTTGACTACCGAGCTTTGAAAAAGATTCTAAAGCGATGCCTCTCCTCGCGAGCTCACAGCGACGCCATTCCAGCATGCGCGCCCAGCCCGCCAGAGGACGCTTCCATAAACGCCGTCAACTCTGTCAATTCCGTCAGCCCCGTCGACGTTATAAACTCCGTCAACTTTGACGCCGTCAAGCCGGCGGCCGGTTGTCCCCATTGCGACGACAAGTTCTTCAAGCTGCTGGAGGAGGAGCTGCGAAGCATCGAGCGAAGCTTCACCCGCGAGGCGGCGCGCGTCATCAGCTGCCATAACGCGCACGGGCTGTCGGCGATTCTGTCGCGCTTCTCCGACTTCAGCAAGTAAGCAGGCTGTCTGTTACCCTCACCCCTCGCCCTCGCCCTCGCCCTCGCCCTCGCCCTCGCCTCCCCACCCCTCCCCTTCCTCCCCTCCCGTTCTATTTCTTTCTCATTCCCTTTTTTGGTGGCCATAGTTTAGGCCCGAGGTCATATACTGTGCAGTGTCCAGCCTGCTTTCGGGTGGACTCAAAAGTTACCTCCCTATCTCTTTTCCTCTCTCGCTATCCATCCCTTCCTTCCCCAACCCCCCTTCCCCTCCCCCTACCCCTTCTCCGCCCACTCTTTTTCTTCCCCCTTTCTGTCAGGCCCGAGGTCATGTACTGCGCAGCGTCGAGCCTGCTGGAGCACCTCGCGCTCAGCTACCTCGCTACAAGGAAAATCGTTAAGAAGTACGTCAAGGTGCACAGCGCTCATATGAAATCCGAGCCCAGTATTGGGGATGAGTCGGAAGGGGCTGACAGCCGCGGAACCGGCGGAACTGGCGAAAACGGCGGAAGCTGCGGAAGCGGCGGAAACGCGGAGGCGTGCAGGAACGGCGGAAACGCGGAGCGACTGGAGGACATTCGGCTGCTGCAGCAGCGCATCCTGCGCTCCCCGCTGATGCTGGAGCTGACTGCTCTTCTGTCCAACCTGAGCTATGCGCTGGAACAGAAGCAGCTGAAGCTGCAGCAGAAACAGCAGCAGCAGCAGCAGCAGCAGCGGCATCAGGGTTGCGATCATGGTGAAGCAGGTTCCGGCTGCTCGTCAGCACCGCTCTCCAGGGGGGAGAGGCGCGAGCAGCGGCAGCGGCAGCAGCTGTTTGGGTGCGAGCACCACCACCTGCACCGCTACTGCCACGACCCGCGTTGCCCGGGGTTTGACCCCCAGCGCAGCAAGGAGCACTGCGACCGCAAGTGGCGCTACCAGCACCTGCGCTGGCTGCACATTCTCGCGCCCATGCAGAGCACTTGGACGGGCGGCGGCGGGGGCGGGAGCGCCTCAGGTGTTTTTTCAGGCAGGCTGCTTTGGAGCCCGGGAAAGGGGGTTGCTGACGGCCGCGCAGCGGATTCCCCAGGTGGGTTTTCAGGTGGGGGGAGTCCTGGTGGGGCGAGGGAGGTGGAGGAGCGTGTGTGGAGCGATGAGGAGGACGGCGACGAGGAGGAGGAGGTGGAGGTAGTGCCTCTAACGGAATGTGGGTGTAGCTTGGACCTTTTTGAACGCTCTGCTGGTGCTGCTGCTGCTGGCAGTGGTGCTGGCAGTGGTGCTGGTGCTGGTGCTGGTGCTGTTGCTGGTGATGGTGGCGGCAGCAGTGGTTTGGGGGTATTTGGAAGCGGAAACAGCATCAGCAGTGGCAGTCAAGGTCAAAGCAGCTCCGAAGGGGCACTGAGCGTGGGGGTGGGTCTGGGAGAGCGGGGCTTGGTAAACGGGTGCAGCGATAGTGGTGGTGGTGGTGCTGCTGCTGATACCATGTGGAGCTGTTTCAGCAGCAGTGAGAGTCTGCTAGGGGGGCAGAGTGTTGGGAGTGAGAACGCAATGGCTGTCACCTCAGATGGGACTCCAGAGCGATTGCCAGGGCAGGAGCAGCAGGTGGGGGAGGAGGATCAGGAGGAGGAGGAGAAGCAGGCAGAGCAGTCACACCAGCAGCCAGAGCAGCAGCCAGAGCAGCAGCCAGAGCAGCAGCCAGAGCAGCAGCATGGGGGTTCGGAGCAGGTGCTGGAGTTGCAATTGAGGCCCGAGTTTCACGCCCACGTGGAGTTCAAGTGCCCCGTCTGCCTTGTAAGTGCTCGTTCCTTTCTTTGGTGCTGTTTTTTTAGATTATTCGAATTCGCCAATCACACGCTGGAGCTACAGCTGAGGCCCGAGTTTCACGCCCACGTGGAGTTCAAGTTCCCTGTCTGCCTTGTACGTGCCCGCTTCCTCCCTGCTTTAATTCCCTCATTATCTTGACGTGTACTGCCACACGGGCAGGTGTTGGGGTTGCAATTGAGGCCTGAGTTTCACGCCCATGTAAAGTTCAAGCGCCCCGTCTGCCTTGTAACTGCCTGCTTCCTCCCTGGTGTTCTTCTTCCCCGCTTCGGTATCCTCATTCTCACCTGCTGATGAATAACCCGCTGTCGATGAAATCCCTTATCCACCTGCTCATCTTGTTGCTGTTTCCCCGCCCCCTTGTCCTAATTACCCTTCACCCCAGGATGTGTTCTTTGATCCCATTGCGTTAGCCTGCGGGCACATCTACTGCCGCTCCTGCGCCTCGTCAGTCGCCAAGGTGGCGGCCTTTGAAGACATCCGCATGGCGTCGCGCCACATCACATGCCCCGTCTGTCGCCAGGCGGACGTTTTTGGGGGCATGGTGTCGTTGCGAGAGCTGCATCGGCTGATTATGGCTCGGCAACCAGAGCAATGGAAGGAGAGGAGGGACGAGGAGTTGAAGCAGAGGTTGGCGGAGGAGAGGAAGTATATGGATGAGCAGATGAGGGTCGCTATGAGATTGCACTGAGATGGAAGAGATGCAGTGCAGTTGTGTGCCCTTGGTGTCCATAAGGACCCTCTGTGTAGCAGTAGTGACAAGTCTCTGGCTCGAAGTGAGCCAAGATGCTTTCTACTGGTTTGCTGCATTGGACGTCTATTGTAGAAATAAATTATGTAGTAAGTATGAATTGATTACTGCATATGATTAGCTTGCTCATATTTATCTTGTAAGTCTGTCAAGTGGCAGGAGCTTGTATTCAGATAGCAGATTTGAATTTCGGGTCTTCGCCAACCACACACCAGCACACCCTGATCAACGCGCTTCGATTTGCTCATTCAAACAAAGCGCGGCTCGGGCAAGCCCATCTGCTCATCCAGGAAGAGAACTTGGATTTTGAAATGTTGAGTTCGATTTGTCGCATTTTGAAACTTCGATTTGCCACCTCACTTACAAACCACCATCCACCCCACCTAACCCATTTTACTTCTTTCATTTGCAAGGTCGAACTCGGAAAGTTGAAATCTGGGTTGTTGAATTTGAATTTGTGCTATCTTGTGCTGACGATGGCCAATTTCGCGACCCGAGATTACTTCTCTTCTCACCTTGGGTTCCCACTCCGCTCCGCTCCTCCTCCCTCCACTCCCCTCCCCTCTTCTGGCTTCCGCCAGCAATTTTCGAACAGACCAGGCAAGTCACGAGAAGGGGCAAGCGAAACTCAAGACTCATAGCGCAAGCTAAGGCCGAGAGGAATAAAGCACCCGCATTTTCCATTCTCGGCGCACTCGATGATCCCCACGCCGCCACGCCGCAATGCCCCCCCTTCCCGCGCGAACTGCCTTCCTTCGAAGGAGAGAGACCCTTCCAGGGCCTTTTCCTCTCAGCCGCACGTTACCAGGATGATCCTGGTATAAAACCCGTCAGTCAAACGGGTTCGCCATAAACCGCCAATACTCGTAGCTTCAAGGCTGCATTGTCTCTCCGTAATAGTAGCGACTGCACAACGGCCCTTCCCACCTTCAAAGCAGCATTTCCTTTCCGTGATAGCAACTGCATATCGGCCGTTCCTCTCACCTTCAACGCACAACGGACTTTCCTCTTACCTTCGAGGTTGCATTGTCGAGACAGTTTCAGGTGTTTGTCGTGTCCTTTCCCTGACATCGCCGCTGGAGCTCGCCTTGAGCTCGCCTTGAGCTCACCGACTCGTTCCTAGCTCTCTCTTCGACGGGTTCCACAGCTGCGACTCGTAACTGATCCTCGTTTCACGCTAGCTTCCCGTCGCGACTCGCAAACCATCTTCTCCTCCATGCAAATGCTTCAACAGGTGCTGAGCTTCAATTTGAAGCGAGCTCAATACGAGCCCATTTGAAACCTCGCATCGGTCGCACCAATTGAGGCGTAACCCTCATTTGAAAGCCTTATTCTGAAAAGGCTCAATTTGAAAGCATCATTTGATAATGGCAGAGTTCGCGGTCGCCAAGTCGCTTTCCCCTCCAACGTCCGCCTCACTCCCCTCCACCGACACCCAAGACACAAAAATCCTCGTTACAGACAGGAACGTTACACGTTGTAACGAGGAATCGGAAGCCTCGATCGGTAAAGCACAGTCTGTGCTCGGCCAACTCGTTAACAATCTCGACCGTAAACACGATCGATCTGACGATCAGGATCGGTCCGCGCCGTCGTGGTCACCCTCCTCCGGACGGACGCCCAAACGGGTTCGCGTCTTCGCGCCTCGAAGCGCGATCCGACGGCTACCAGAGGCCATCTTGTCGCTCATATTTCAGAAGCTTCCGCCTGCTGACGTGGCAGCGTCGTGCGCGTTAACCTGCCGGCAGTGGCGGCGAGTGGCAAGCGATCCGTTTCTCTGGCAGGTCCGTGCGATTAGGAAACGAGCAAAGTATTGCGCCTCCGTCGCACGGGGCGACTTCTTCCGTCAACTCAGAAGTCGCGAAATATTGTACTTGTGTTGTGCCTAATGTCCCCCTATTTTCCTTCGAACTCTCCTTCTCAATCCATTCTTCCCGTCTTCCTGGCTCAGTTCAAAAGGTTCATTTTGCTTTTCCCCTCTTTCCGTTGGTGTTCAGATGTTCTGTCAGGGCAACGGCCTGACGGAAGACGACACACACCTCGTTTTGGGCGGCTGGCGCGGCCTATACGAGCGAATCTTCGGGGCGAATCTCGTCGGCTGCCCGCACTTTGAACGTATCGACCACATAGATACGGAGCGAATCAAATCTGCGCTTGACGACGACCCGTACCCGCCCTTCGAGGTGTCGCGTCGAATCTATAAAGAGCGGCTGTTCACGTTGGGGGAGACCGAGGAGGAACCCGCAGCAAGGTCATATTGGGCGTTAGAAGGCGGGGGGTTGGTTTTCCATAGAGGGGGTTCGCATAGATTGGTCCGGCAGGTGGTGTTTGGAAAGAAGGATACTTTGCCGTGGTTACCCGGTGCGAGGGGTCTAGAGGTGGAGAAGCACAGGGTGAATTACCCTGGAGGAGGGGTGAGGATCGGTGGAGGTGATTGTAGCGAGGGAAGCAGCAGCATGGTGCTGTGTTCTTATGGCGAGAGCTACAGCACTCTGCAGCAGTCCATTGGGGTGAAGAGTTTCGGCTGCCCGTTTTTGGATAGCTGCCCGCTGATTGAGGTCTCAGCGTGGTGCTCTGCTCTGGAGACAGGTGAGGGGAGAGAAAGCACTGGCAATCAACACGTGGCAGGGGGTGATATTAGTAATGACGGGGATGCTCTTAAAGGGGACAATGTGGTGTTAGAGCGTGCTGGTAGTTGTGGTGATGGGCGGGTTAAGGTGATTGGTTCAAAACCTTTTGCTGGTAACAGTACAGATGCCATTGCATGTAACAGTTCAAGTAACAGTTCTGGCAGCAGCTCAGGTGAAAATTCAGGTGGCACTTCAGGTGGGACACAGTCAGGTGATGGCAACAGAGAGGCAGCGGGAGGGGTGGGTGCAAACACAACAGCAGCAAGAACAACAGCATCAGGGGGAGGAAGAGGAGGAGGAAGAGGAGGAGGAGGAGGAGGAGGAGGAGGAAGAGGAGGAAGAGGAGGAAGAGGAGGCAGAGGAGGAAGAGAAGGAAGAGGAGGTAGAGGGGAAGGAGTAGGAAGAGGAGATGCAGAGGTAGGAGGAGAAGGAATCAAAAACAGAAATAGCAGCCAGAATAACAGCAGCCGCAGCCAGTTCAGAATTCAGCTGGTGCTCAAGGATGCTTCCAAGCAAGTTCTCTCCGTCTGGTAAGGCTTCTTACACTCTCCCATCCACCTCCCTCCTCCCTCTCTCCCCACCCTTTCCACTCAACCCCTGTTGCGAACACTCTTCTCTGTTCTTCCCACTTCCCCATTCCCCCCACTCTCTTCACTCTGCCCTGCATCACTCCCACACTCCCCCTTTCCTCTTTCCCCCTCACCCCTCTTCCATCCATACTGCTTCATATCAGTTCACATGCCCCTCCCAGGTAATGGCCCTTCTAGCTTCACGTCAAGTATCATGGGATGGTTCACATGTGTTCACGTCTCATGTGTTCCCATGTGACTGTCCCTCTGGCCTTACATGTCCGTAAGCCGTACGATTCCCATCTGACAACTCTCTCTTCTGCATATCCATCAGATTGTTTTCTATCTTCCATTGCCCTTCACCCCTTTTTTTCTGTACCAGGGACTCAGGAAAAGTGAACCCTCCTCATAGCAAATGGTTCCAAGTGAAGGGCACCATATCAGCCTATCCCAAGGTACGCCCTCTTCATCACTGCTTATAAAAAAGGCTTGCTTTTTCCTCACTATGCCAGCTCCTTTATGCAAAAAGTCGCCCTAGCCTGTTCAATCAAATACTTCTATGTTGTGTTTTCTTTCATTCCAGGGTCTACAACACATGACCGTACGACTGGCCGCTGCAAATGTTCAGACCACTGCAATCAGCGTGCGCTTCGTTGCACGGAATTGCAGGTAGTCTGCTTACTTGATGTTACAATCCAGAAAATCCCACAAACAATGTCTATGCCCTGTAAGGACTATGTAGGCTCAATCACCAATCCATGTATGTACGGTACACTGCTTGAACTAAAGTTTTAAACGTTCACCTGATGATGGAAGGGTTGTGCCAGGAATTCAGATGGTCCCTTGTCTTTGCTGCAGGAACTCTGTAATTGTGATTGTCTTGCTGCTGTATGTGTTGTGGACTTGTGATTGTGTTTATGCTGTTCGTGCTTTGGAAGTTTTGTTTCTGTATGCAATGTTGAAATTGAACTGAGGGGGGTCCTAAAGAACCATAAAATATCCTAAATATATTAAAATACATTCAATATCTTTGCTATAAGCATGCAGAAGTTCCTATGACTAACCAGCTGCTGGATCTTGATTCTTGATCTTGATTCTTCATCTTGGTTTCTTCTTGACCCCTCTTGGCCGCTAGAGGCAAATGCCTCTAGCGTTACACCCACACACCGCGATGAGGTGGAGGTCATTCGTGTGGGACCCTGTTTGGGGGGAGGGGGGGGAGGCACGGATGAAAATTTCAAATAGGAAGGGGAAGGTTAAAATTATTACTGTAGCGGCGGGCAACACCTCAGCTCCTCGGTTGAAGAGATGTCAGGTTGTCAGAAGAGTTGCCCGAAGAGGCACGGAAAACGCACCTGTACCAAATTACCTGACCCCAACCCCACCCCCCGCGCGCGCGGCCTAACTACACCCACCCAAACCCACCCAAACCTAATCTGCAATTGGGGAGGGGGAGGGGGATGGGGAGGGAGGGGAGGGGGGGTGAGGATGAAACCTCCTCCTCCAAGCTCCTCGCCGCCTGCGCCGTTGTCCCCGCCAGCGCCGTTGTCCCCTCCAGCGCCGTTGTTTCCGCCAGCGTTGTTGTCCCGCCAGCGCCATTGTTGCAGCCAGCAGCACCGTTGACCGCCAACGTCGCCGCCAGGACCGCCGTTGACTGCCGCTGTCGCCGCCAACAGCACCGTTGACAGCCGTTGTCGCCGCCAGGACTGCCGTTGACTCCCGCAGGCTTCCGTGTCCTTGACTGGAATCTGCTCACACATTGCGATCCCACACATCAAGGTACCACGGAAAAGAGAAGAACGAAACCAGAGAGCGGAAATGCGAGAAAAACGAAACAAACGAAGAAAAAAACGAGAAACAAACGAGCATGGCTGAGAGAAGCACCACCATGCGCCCGTGAGGCGCATCCGCCCGTGACAGGCTCTGTCCGCCCGTGCGACGCGCAGTCCGCCCGCATGACGCGCCATCCGTCCCCCCCGAGAAGCGCCATCCGCCTTCCGCCGTTGACCGCCGCCGCCGCCGCTCCCGCCGCTCCTGCCGCTCCTGCCGTGCCGTGCCGCTCCTGCCGTGCCGTGCCGTGCCGTGCAGTGCCGTGCCGTGCCGTGCAGTGCAGTGCCGTGCCGTGCCGTGCCGTGCCGTGCCGTGCCGTGCCGTGCCGTGCCGTGCCGTGTCGTGCTTCGTGCGCTCTGCAGGAAGAAAGCAAAAGCATTAGAACCGAAACCTTGAAGGAAACGTAAGGAAACGAACGAATAAAACGAACGAAGGAAACGAACGAAGGAAAGCACCACCGCAGCAGCGAGAGGTTGAACGACTTACCTCAAGGGGCGCAGTGACGGTCAGTGGCGCAGTGACGGTCAGTGAACCATCCGCCTGTGAGACCATCCACGGTGAGTGGCGCAGTCACGGTAGCGAACCATCCGCCCGTGAGACGCGCCTTCCGCCAATGAGACGCGCCGCCGTCCGCCGTCGTGCTACGCTGTGCTTCGTACGCGTCGTGCTACGCTGTGCTTCGTACGCCGTCGTGCTACGCTGTGCCGGACAGGAAGAAAGCAGAAGCATTAGAACCGAAACTTTGAAGGAAACGAACGAAGGAAACGAACGGAAGGAAACGAACGGAAGGAAACGAACGATGGAAAGCACCATTGCAGCTCAAGAAAACGAAAGGGAAACGAAAGAAAGCACCATTGCAGCTCAAAGAACCGAAAGGAAACGAAAGGAAAGCACCACCGCAGCAGCGAGAGGCTGAACGACTTACCTCAGGGCACAGCTGGCGCAGTGACAGTCAGTGGCACGGAGACGGTCAGTGAAGCGTCGCAAAGCGCCGTGAGACGTGCTTCGCCCTTCGCCATACGTCGCCACGCGTCGCCGCGCTTCGCCACCCGAGAGCCATCGTCCGTGCGCCTTCGTGGTCAGGTTCTGCAGGAAGAATCACCAACGAACACGTTAGCGAAGCGAACACGAAACGAAGCGAAGCCGCCAAGACAAGTTGAAGAACACAAGTACCAAAGTGCTTACCAGTGACGACTAGTCTTGGCGACGGGAGAGGCCGTCAGCGGGACATGGCATCGTTGACATGGCATCGTTGACATGGCGTCAGCGGGACATGGCGTCAGCGGGACATGGCGTCAGCGGGACATGGCGTCAGCGGGACATGGCGTCAGCGGGACATGGCGTTGGAAGCCTTGGCCAGCTTCGGTCGCCAAAAGGTCTGCATCAGAAAACGGCATCAGGTTAGTACTACGCATCAGAAAGCGGCATAAAGAAACGGCAGCGACGGGAAAGAAAAGCGATTGGAAAAGAAACCGTGCTTACCAGTGACGACTTGTCTTGGCGGAGCGGCAGCAACGGGACTTGTCTTGAAGCAACAGCGGGACTTGGCGTCAGGAGCAACGGCGACGGCGCTCGGGACTGCAGGAGAGTCATGACGTGACGGAGAGCATTCGAGTCATGACGGCCGCCAAGAAGGTCGCCGAGATCTGAAAAGGATACAAGAAAGACGTAAAGAAACAGCAGGACACGAAACGCGGCATGAGTTGGTACTAAACGGCAGGACATGAAACGCGGCATGAGTTGGTAAACGGCAGGACATGAAACACAACATGAGATGGTAAACGGCAGGACATGAAACACAACATGAGATGGTAAACGGCAGGACATGAAAGGTCGAATGAGTTACCTCAAGTGGAGCGAGGCGCAGCTGATAGCAGATCGCCGGCTGAGAGAAGCGCCGCCAAGCGCCTCGGTAGATGCGCCACCGTCGCGAAATGCACCGTCTGCCCGAGAGAGGCGCCATCCGTCACCCCCTCACCACCGTCCCATCCGTCATCGCGCTTCGCCATGCGTACCCATCCGTGAGGATGGCGGACGGTCAGGTTCTGCAGTAGTCCGTCAGGAAGTAGAAGGAAGCAAAACGCATTGAACTGCCAAGCATTGAATGAGGACTGAACGAGAATCGAATAGCCGGAATGGAATGAGGACCATACGAAAGGGAGCTGCCAAGACAGATTCAAAAGGATAGATTAAGCTTACCTCATCCCGAGGGAGGCGCTGCTGGTAACGAGGAATCCGTGACGGTTGAAGCGCCGCCTCCGATGTGCCGTGCGCCGATGGGACCTCATGCGTCGCCATGAGTCGCCGTGCGTCGCCGTGCGTCTGGGGGAAAGAATGCAAGAAATACATCAAGAAAGCGTAGAAATTTCTTCAAAAAACGTCAAGAACCGGAAACTGTCAAGAAGACGGAAAAAGGCTACACGAAAAGAAGCCGCCAACACGGAATCAACGAGCAAGATAGAATCATTACCTCAACCCGATCAAGGCGCTGCTGGTAGAAACGCGGGCTGATCCGTCCGTCCGTCGCCGTCCGTCGCCGTACGCTCGTGTCGTCCGCTAGCGACTCGCCGCGTCGCTGATCGCCGTCGGCTCGTGTTGCGAGAGAAGCATGTTCGCCGTTGACGGTGAAGCCGTGCGAGTGTGACTGCTTGGCGCTAGAAGCTAATGACGACGGTAGAGCAGTCCAAGCTCGTAGCAGATAACAGTGACGATTTCGCAAACAGATTCAGCGCCCATCCGAAACTATTTGCGAACGCACTTCGACGTTGCATTCCAGATCAGGTTATAGTCCCGAGGTTTCCATACTCTGCGATCCACAGACCACCAATTTCGACAACGCTTTGGTTCGCGAGTCAGTCACGTTCCTTGTCCCTATCAAGCTTCCTAACTTAGAAACTCTTGGACCCCGGGTTGTCCAAGAGTTTCAAAGTTAAGAAGATTGGTTGGGGCAGGAAAGGTGACTGGCTCGCGAACCAGGGTGGTGTCGAAATCGGTGGTCTGGGGTTGCAAAGGAAGAAAATTTCGCGAAAATAACCACATCTGGGATGCAACGGCATAACCCGATCGCAGACAGTATCGGACGGGCTTCAAATTTGTTGGCGAAATCGTCACTGCTTTCGCCCTCGCTAGAACAGTAGTTTCGCGTGACGAAAATTGTCCCCCCGATTTGCGAAGCCAGGGTCTGCAGGGAGACAGAGAAACACAAAAAGTACGACTGGAGAATATGTTGTCGAATAAGTCTATGCGTTAATTACGAAAAGGGCTTCACTTACCATCTCGATGCACCTTGACGGCACTGCGTCGGCGATCGTTGTTGTGTCGTCGCTTTCGAGTCGCCTTCGAAAGGGAGTCCTTTCGAGTCATCAAGACGGCCGCCGAGGTCTGGAAAGACAAGGCAACAGATTAGTACTTGGACAGGTGAGAAGAAAAACTTTAGAGCTTAAAGCCTGAATCAGAGGTATCACTTAGACGAGTCAAAGATTCACTTACCTTAACAAGTCTGCCGTTGGCGAGCCGGCTTTGACCCGGCCTTTCAGGTTCGCGACTGTCATGTGAGAGCCAATGGGCGATCTTGACTTGGGGCCAATCGGCTTCAGGTTAGAAGCACTCCAGTCCGTGCGACAGGCGGCATCCGTAAGTCGCGCCCGTGCGTTGCCGTGTTTTCGAGTACAAAACCTGAAAAGAAGAACGCAACATACAAGTGAGACATAAACAAGAACTAAGAACCAAGAACTAAAAGAACAAACTTACACAGCTGAGACTGGAATCTTGACCAGTGATGTACGGCATTTAGGTCTGCGACTTTTGAGTCCCGTAGCTTAATTCGTCAACGGCGATGAAGCGCCTGGAGATGAAACGGTAAATGCTCGCCACGGTAAATGCACGGTCTGCAGGGAGACATAGAAACACGTTAGTACTAGAGAATATGTTGCCAAAAAGATAGGACTATATGTTAATTAAGAAAAGGGCTTCACTTACCATCTTGACTCGACGCATCTTGACAGCGCACGACAAGCCGAAATGCAGCCGGTCCGCCTTTCAGGTTCGCGACTGTCAGGTGAGAGCCAATCTGAGAGCCGATCTTGACATGGGGCCGGGTTGGGATTGAATGTCCGTCAATCGGCTTCAGGTTCGCGTAGAAGCATTCCAGTCTTAGGTACTCTGCAGGAAAACAAAAAAGGAGTTAGAAAAGTTATCAAAACAACGTCAAACGATTCACGAAAGAAGTTGAATGAACTAGCCAGAAACGGTTGTAGGAAAAATGGAACATGGAACTTACCTCCACTCGACCGTCTCCTTCCCAACATGGTGACGGGAGAGGCCGACCAGCAGCGCTTTGAAGGCTTTGAAGAGCTTTGAGCGGAGGCCCCGGTGCGGAAAACACGCCTAGAAATTTTTGGCTGCGTCTTCGGTCGTGGCTGCGTCGGCGATCTTGGAATGCCATCAAATCGGCGTTTTCAAGTCCTAACATCGTCGCTTTCGAGTTGCCAACAGGTCTGCAGGAAGTAAGCAACAGGTAAGTACCAGAAACTTAAAAGAAAAACAGGAACTTCCTGGAAAATGTGAAAAAAGAAATCAGATAAGTATGGCAGAAAGCTGTTGCAAGCTGCACTTGCCAAGGGTCGTCTTGGCGGCGAAGACTTCTCTTGGCGACAGCGACGGAAGAGCCTCCCGGATTCAAGTCCTTCGCGAATCAAGAGCGAAGACCCCGTTGCGAGAATCTCGCCGTAGAGGCTTCGCCGTTTTCGAGTTGCCAAGAGGTCTGCAGGGAAGAAAACATCAGTTCAGTACAAATCTCAAGAAACTTAAAACAGATCTCAAATCTCAAGAACAAATCTGCAGGATGGAAAATCGTTGCAAACTGCACTTGCCTAGGTCGACGTCTCTTGGCGATAGCGACAGAAAGGTTTTGACTTGGGCCTCCGCGATTTCGACTTGAGTTGTCGTCAGCGAAGTGTTGGTCCTCAGCGATTTGCATGAGAAGTTGTCATTGTCTGCAAGAAAATAAGGAAAAGGGTTAGAATCTTACTAGGAAAACCGCCAACGAATCTTAAAGCTCAACCGGCCAAAAGAGGCTGTAGGTAGAAGTTGAAAAAATATATGCTTACCTCCACCGTGATTTTCTCGCCGTGGAAGTTTCTTGGCGTGAAGATCCTTCAACAAAGACTCGCCATGTAGATCTTGCAGATGAGACCATGAGATCATGTATCAGTTGCGGTGAAAGGTTGCCATCGGAAACATTGAAGCTCCCGAAGCTCTTGAAGAGACTGAAGCTCTTGAAGAGCGTAAAGATGATATCGCGGTGAAAAGGTTGCCGCGATATTCGGCGCAGTACACGATTAGACCCAAGGAAAGCTTTAGCTCGCTCCTCACGGACTACCCACCCCCCATCCCCAACTCAACGCCGCCGCCTGCCATGGGTTTCATCGTGTACTGTCCGGGCCACTTCAGGTTGCTTCGGTTGCATGAGAAGTAGTCATTGTCTGGAAGAAAATAAGGAAAAGGGTTAGAATCTTACTAGGGAAACCGCCAACAAATCTTAAAGCTTAACCGACCAGAAGAGGCTGTAGGTAGAAGTTGGAAAAAGTTGAGCTTACCTCCACTTGACCGTCTCTGTTTAAGTCGGTCGTCTTTGTGCTGCTGAAGAGGAGGCCGATAGAAGCACCTTAACCGTCTCTAAGTCGGTCGGTAGCAGCACCTTAAGCCAGCAGGGGAGACGCCATGGGACTCCTTCAAGTTGAAGCTTTTTTTTGCCGCGACGATCTTGGAGCGGAGATCGCGCCGTGATTTCCTCGCCGTAGAAGTTTCTTGGCGTGAAGATCCTTCAGAAGACTCGCCGTGTAGATCTTGCAGATGAGATCATGTATCAGTTGCGGTGAAAGGTTGCCGTCGGAAACATTGAAGCTCCCGAAGCTCTTGAAGAGCGTAAAGATGATATCGCGGTGAAAAGGATGCCGCGAAAATCGGCGCAGTACACGGTTACACCCAAGGCACGCTTTAGCTCACTCCTCACAGACTACCCAACCCACCCCACACCCAACTCAACGCCGCTGCATGCCATGGGTTTCACCGTGTACTGTCCGTGCGACTTCAGGTTGCTTCGGTTGCTCGGTAGATCTATAGCCTGAAGTCTATGATGTAGCTCATTGGATTGGACTGAAAATCCTTCATTGGGTTCGAGAATGAAGAAAATGGACGTCACAAACGCAACGTCGCTAGACCAGATGAGATGGTCGATAGAGCAGCAAGCAGAAGGTAGCTGCTGAAACTGAAGGAAAGCCATGCTGCTGTCCAGGGATGATTGAATTCAGTTCCAGGCTTTCTGACTGGCGGCTAGCGCGGTCCGCCTTACCCAAATGTGATGGATCAATGACGTGTGCGGTAATAGAAAGATACATCAACTACCTGAGTGCAGTGCGGTGATACGCGGTAGCGGCGGAATTGCTGGTCATGTGCTGCTAGTGGAAGCGAGGGAAATACTGACACTGCGCTGGGTACGCGGTTCGAAAAGCACAGTGTGATGTGAATGGATGGATGGTGGTGGTGCAGCAGACAGCAGCGGTGAGGAGGTGTGGTATCTTGTGCGTCAAGGACCAATGAAATGTCGCACCGAGATTGTGGCAGGGGTCTTTTGTCGAGTGGCGCGTGGGGAATATTTTGACCTGGGCCCACCTTATCCATCCAGGCCAACCCAAGTTGTACACTCATTTCACACATTCAAATATGAAATTGCAGATTAGTTTGACTTTCAGGGATGCAAACGCGTTTGTCAAGGACGCGTATTTCTGGTTCAGAAGGGCTGCTGGGGTGCTGAAGCGCAACACCACGGGCAGGCTGGAAATAGGAGGTGGTTGACGTGGCGCTTTCTTTAGTTGGGCCATGAGTTCTTTTGACCGAACGCCTGTGAGTTTTGCGTGAGGTGCGGGACGGCTTTGGTTCAGCCGACGAAAAGTTCAGCTGACTCGCTAACCTGACTCGGGCAGCTGGGAAAACAATGGGTGGATGAAATGAGATTCACGTGAGCCAATAGGGATGGTGTTTTTGCCACCATGGCACATTCCACCACGGCATTATCAACAATCCGAACCTCGAGTTGCCGAACCTACCACACCTAACCTCTCACCCGTCTGTGTCCAGCCCAGACCAGAATCTGGACTCCAGATGTATTAGCGCGGGACGTTGGTAGTTTCGCCACTTTATCTTGTTGGGTAGCTGTTTCTTGTTTACCAGTTCTCAGCGCGGTAGTCGACGTGGTGCGTACGGGATTCTTCTTAGTACTCGTCGCTTCACGCGTTTGGTAGCGATCTAGCAGAATCAGATCTGGATACCAGACATTGCAGTTAGTCGCCCCACCGCGTTCGGTTGCGCGCCTCCAGATCTGACGTTCTTTATTGCTTGCGGATCGAGGACGGAATAGTGACATTCGACCAAAGGTCGCGTCGCGTCGCTTTTAAACGCATCAGTGACGGTGCGCGCATTCGTCGATTAGACAGCGCGTCGACGGTAGTCGGACGCAAGACGGAAATAAGGAGGGCGGGAGGTGAGTGGCGGGGAGAAACGGAATAAACGGAAGAGGATCCGCGAAAAGGTAACAGGGGAAACCGCCATTTCCCCCTATTTTTCCCCATTTTTTATCCCCTTTTTTCCGCTTCCTTTTCTTTCCCTTTTCACCCCATGACCTTGCCTAGAAACGTCATTCGTCTCTCCGCTTCCCAGCTCTTTCCTCCTCTTCCCTGCTCTCCCCGCATCTTCTCCGCTCCCCCCGCATCTTCTTCGCTCTCCCCGCATCTTTCCCGCCCTCCCCTCATGCCCCCCTCTCTCCCGTCATCCCCCCAGCCCCCCGCCGTATCACCCGCGCACTCTTGCTCACCCACCCTCATCTCCCCTCCACTCACCCCTCGTTCCCCATCTCTCCCCCACCTCCCCTCTTCCCGCATTTCCAACTCACCCGTGTTCCCCTCCCCCCACCATACCTCAATTCACCCCCCCTCACGCCTCCTCTCCCTCTCGATCCACCCCTCATCTCCCTCCCCTACCCTTCCACCGCAACCCCATCACCCCTCATCTCCCTCACTCCCCTTCCCCTTTCTACAACCTAACCACCCAACATCCCCTTCGCTCTCCCCTCAGCTTTCCCCCACTCGCCCCTCATCTGTCCCCGCCCATTCACCCATCATCCCCCCACCTCATCCCCCCACCCTTCCTCCCCCCCTCCTCCCAGTTCCCCTATGTGTCTGTTTGCCTGCAGTGCATGTCTTTCGACTCCTCAACTTCCCCCCCACCCATTCCATCCTCATTCCTCCGTTTATTCACTTCTCATTCCCTTCCTCCTGTGTGACTGCTTGCTTTTGCGGCCACTGCATGCCTTTTGGCTCCTCAGCTGCCTGGTCTGGCAGGTGAGTGCTTGTGATTGCTGCTTCTGATTGCTGCTTGTCTCAGTCAAAACGGTGATTTTTAAAACCCCTTCGACGCTGTCTTTCTGTCTGCTTGCTTTCTTTTGCGGCATGTCAATCTACTCAGCTGCCTGGTTGCTTGTATGTGACTGGTTGGTTTGGCAGCCACAGAAACAACTCCCCCTGGTTCCTGGTGTGACAGATGGCTGCATGTGATTGGGCAGCAGCAGGCTGCTATGATTAACCTTTTTGTTCCTAGAGTTTGTCAGTCATTGCCATGACAGCTGGAGTGGATGCATTTTTTTACACCATGCCGCTGTAAGATCATGTAATCCAGCAGCTATCGTAAGAGCGGAGCAAGAAGCTAGCCTGGCAACGAATTGCCGCATACCGTAATGCGTACTATGCTACAAGGTTATCTAAGTAGGTTGTGGAAAGGAGGGACGACTGGGAACTTTAGGAATTCGGAATGTTGATTAATAGAAGTGTGGGGTAGATTAAACTCACCCAATGGGGAATCAAACTTAGATGGCTAAAGGTATTGTGGAAAGTATTCAGCTAACGAATAGCACGATACGGGTATGTTTCCAACTATGCTGTTCTTGCTACAGATGTGATTGGTTGGAAGGATGTTGACATGAAGCAGCTGTCTCCTCCACGTGGTCAGTCGTCGTCCATTCGGCAGGGAACACTCAAAGTGCATCTGGTTCGTCCATTATGATCCAACCCCGGGATATGCTGACCAGCTGCACCTGTACCGACGATCTGGTACCACAATACTTGAATCGGACGGCGCAGGGGCCGTTTCTTGATTGCACGTTCGCAGCGAGGATGTGATGTGACTTGGTCAAACCACCTTCTTACAAGAATGTTTGGCATCGTAAGTGTTCTCGCACACAAGAAAAAAGCGACCTCGTCACAGCTGTCCACCACTTCTCGCGTTCATATCCCTCTTCAAAGCACCGAAGAGGGCGGGATCGATGCGCAGCATTTCACTCAAGAATGCGCCCTACCAGTCAGATGAGGGTTTCCTGATAAGGTTCGAGTGAGGCCGAGTGAGTACGCTGGAGAGACAGAGACAACCAACCGTGATAGTGAACGGGGTAGGGTTGTGGCTGGATGTAGTAGTAGCATCATGATTTCTCCCTCCAATTTCCCTCACTTGTAGTTCGTTGCAAGGTGTTTCTGTTCAGGGAGTGTTGGCTTAGACGGCGAAGTTAGCAGCCGAAAAGACACATTTGCGAAGCGATTGGCTGGTCCTGTTCAGTGATGCGATAGCCTTTTTCGTTTTCGAGCACATTCATTCTCAAACGCGGTGCAGGAAAACGATTTTTCGTCAAATTCGTTCAGAAAACATTTTTCCTGCTCCAATGAAGCATTTTTTACTCTCGCCCGTTAGATGATTTTAGACACCATCGGTGGTTCCGCGCTACTGACGTTCAGCTGAAGATTCGTTTTTTTTTAAAATATAAGCAGTGACCAGCGAGCCAGGGATTTTCCTCGACAATGCCGCTTATGGAGCATAATAAAGCGATTCGTGACGTTTTGATTGTTTTGTAGGTTAGAAAGCTCCGTACGAAGCAATTTCCTTACTACTACAAGAGCCTGTGTGAAATTTCCGGAAAATAGCCTTGCTGCCGATCTATCTTATATTCATCGCGGTGAGCGTGTCTCCTGTATCCGAGTCGCCATCTTCGCGGCGTGGGCGGTTCCGACGTGTCTTAGTTCACGTCGCTTTCGCGTCGCGTGGGTCCCTGCGACGTCCTCCAGTCGTGCCGCGCCGTTCGTCGTGTCCATACACACGGCGACCTCGTGCGATCGTAACGCCGCTTTTGACGACGGCGCCTCCTGATTAAACGCGGTCCGAGTGAGATTAGCAGTCTCGTGAAGTTTTTGCTCCGTAACGGAACGAGGAAGACCTTTGAGACGTAAAAGCAGAACTGGTGTTAGCGTAATGCAATCGGATCAGGTTTCCGGCCAACGATCCCTTGGATGCACATGTCTGGATCGCGCGGCGCGGTAAGTTAGTTTGATCGCCACGCGTGTGGCTTGAAAGTGGCGGGCGAGAGACAAGAAATATTTTCAAGGCGTCTTGAGGTGATCATTCTGTTAATCCGACTAGAGCGTAGTTTGCATACAGCGCCGGAGAGAAGCTAGGAACGAGCATAGTGAAGACTTTTTCCAAGATGATTACAAACGAAGAGGAGCGGCAGCACGGGTCCCCCCCATCGGCCGAAGGTGCACCGGGTGACGCGGTGAATGCAGCTGCTGCTGAAGAGCCAGACGGAGGAGGGGGAAGCGGAGGAGGAAGAGGAGGGGGAGGGGGAGGAGGAGGAGGTGAAGAAGGAGAAGCAGCAGCAGCAGAAGCAGAAGAAGGAGGAGGGGGAGGGGGAGGAGGAGAAGCATCTCCGTCGTCTGAGTAAGCTGGTGTATGCATTCTGTGGGGTGGGAGACGAAAAGCAAGACGCATGATGCTCTGTCTGCTGTCTTCTGCTGTCTGAAGCTAAGATAGTTCCCACACACCCGTGCTCTCTTCTGTTCTTCCTCCGGCCTTCCCCCCCCCCCCCCCCCCCCCCCCCCCCTCCCTCTCCTCTGTCCCTCGATCCAAGCGAGAAACATGATGATGCAAAGACAGTTACAGCTCCCATACACCTGTGCTCTCTTTTGTTCCTCCCTCCTGCCTGTGCTCCCCTTCTCCTCCCCTCCTCTTGTTTCCAGGAGCATCGAGAGAGACGACGAGATGGTCCGATCAGGGTCCTTTGTCCTCATCTCTGGCTGCCTCTGCATGTTCTGAGACGTCTCAACCCTTTCCTCCGTTCCCCCCTCCCCCTTTCCCCCGTGCCAGGAGCATCGAGAGAGACGACGAGATGGTTCGATCCGGGGGCTTTGTCCTCGTCTCTGGCTGCCTCTGTATGGACCCCACTGTATGTGCCTCGTTAGTACGGAACCCACTGTATGTGCCTCGTTAGAACGGACCCCACTGTATGTGCGCGTGCGCGCTGCGTATGTCTGTATATGGGCTTTTATTGTGACAGTCGGAGCCTGGGCGTGTCCTCGTCTCTGGCTGCCTCCGCATGGACCCCACTGTATGTGCTGGTCCTTGCCTAGTTAGTACGGATCCCACTGTACTGCTTATGTCCGTTGAAGTGGGCTGTGTTGTAAAAGTCGGTGAGTATGCTTTGTCCGCGTCTCTACCTGCCCTTTGCATGGACCTTGGCGTATGTATGTATGTATGTGGTCCACGTGTCTTGTTATCTCTTGTCGGTTACGCCGGCCTGTGATGCGTTCGATATTCTTATCCGCGGTCGGTGTCGCTACTTGTGCTCGATATCGTTATACGCTGTCAGTATCGCTCTTTGTGTTAGAAAAAACGCTCTGGATCAATCTCGCTATTTGCATCGAAGATCGCCATGTGCGCTCCATGTTGCTAGTATCTGTGTCTGATGTCGCCGGTCGCTCCATCCTCCCTGTGAATGCACTTCTCGTTTCTTAGACGCTAGCGATTAAAGATTCCACTATTGAGGCTCTTCAGAAGGCGATCCTTTCTTTTTGTTTCGTAGACTGTAGCGAATGTGTCATGAGGAAGGTAGGCTAGTCAGAGAGCTACAAGGAGCTGAATATACTTAAATGTGTGCTCTCAGCTGTGCTGGTCTCTCTGTTCTGGTGCATCTCTTGTGCGCTTTTCTCCCTGGTGCGTTGCTCTCTCTGTCCTTCTGCCCGCCCCCTCCCCAGATGCTTGCCAATGTCTCGATGGTGGACGTCAAAGCGCAGACAGCTGATGTGAGTGCTGTGGTGCTGAGATTGGAGTCTGTTTATAAGCTTGATTATATGCATGATTCGTTGGCTTACTAGGCCCGTGCCTTGTTAGGAGTTGGTTTATATGCTCGTTACCAAGCCTTTTGCCCGTTTCTGTTCCTTGAATTCTTGTCCTTGTATGCTACCTTGTGCTCTCAGGTGCTGAGGCGGATAGAGGCAGTGCTGAAGCAGGCAGGAACGAACCTGGTTCGACTGGTGAGTACATGTGTGTGTTGTGTGCTGTGCTTGCATTTACGGCTGCAATCTCAGTGTGTGTTTGTGAGCCAGTGCCAGTGACGAGCATCACCAGCACTGCATCCTAACCTGCATCCTAACCTGCATCCTAACCTGCATCCTAACCAGCCCTCCATCCGTCCCTCCCTCGCTGCCTTTCACATTCTCCCATTCCCCTCCTTATTCCATTTTCAGGGTCAACGCAACGCAGCAGCCAGAGCTCGCACCCATGCCGCTGCTGGCACCCCCAACACTCCTCCCCATCCCCATCCCCGCAACCCCACTGCTCCTAACCACCAACCCCACGTGTTTACCCATCATGCCTTTCACAACCCTTCCGGCACCCCCAACACTCCTCCTCCCCATCCCCATCCCAGCAACCCTACTGCCACTAACCGCCATTATCCCCACGTCTACACCAACAATGCCACCACCACTCATGCCTTCCACAATCGGCATGACCCTGCGAATACACATGGCCTTTCCAATCCGCATGGCCTTGCCCATCCGCATGACCCGGCTGGTCGGCATGACCCTGCACATCCGCATGGCCTCTCCAATCCGCATGGCCTTGCCCATTCTCCCGTGCCTCGTGGTCCCGCCAACCCGCATGGCAGTGACAACCCAAGTGATACTGGATATCCGCATGTGAATGGCGATCCAAGCAGCTTTGGGAATCTGCATTCGCATGCAGCACATGATGATGATGCTGCTGCCTATAGGCGCACGAAACTCAGCTATGCTTTCACACGTACCGTCAACGGCGTGGAGCAGGATGGTAGGGCCGGCAGAAGCGCACCTGCTGGCAGGCCCGGTATCAGGTCCGGTAATAGGTCTGGAGTCAGGTCCGGCATTAGGTCTGGTATGGGGTCTGGCGTTAGGCCTGACAACGGGCCTGTGCCGTGTGAGATGGGCGACGGTGATGCTGCTGGTGGGTGTGGTGGTATTGGTGGTTATGGGTGGGATGGTATGGCTGGTGCTGATGCACATGCGTTAAGGGAGGATGATGATGCATATGGGGAGGATGGTGCATGTGAGGAGGATGAGGATGATGCATGTGGGGAGGATGATGAGGCATGTGCAAATGACGGTGATCCATGCCAAGCCAGGGATGCACATGCACCACTATCAACCATCCGCCCTCGCTGCTCCTCCCTCCCACCTCCCTCCGCCCCACCTGCCACTGTATCAGTCTACACTAGAGTTCATGCTATAGCTGGTGCTACAGCCGGTGGTGCTAGGCCGCGTGTCTTTCCACCTGCTGCTACAGCTGCTGGTATCAGACATAACAGTAACAGGTTTTCAGACGGTTTCCCAGGTGTTTATTCAGGTGGTTTCTCAGGTGGTTTTGCTGGGCCTTTTGGGACGTGCTCTGCTCCTGCGACGCCTGTTACATCTGCAGCAGTCCGCCTCCGTCCAGGCTCAAACGCCCAAGATGTAACGCCAGATGTAATCGAGGACGTAACGGCAGATGAAACGGGAGGTGTAATGCCAGATGTAACGCCGCTGCCGCCCCCTCTACTGACCCAGCTGCAAGAATTGCATGAATCTGACAGGGTAGGTGTAGCATTGGGACCGGCTGTGGTTGATGATACTGCTACTTGTGCAGGTGATGCTGCTGGTGCTGCCAGTCCTGCAGCTGGTGCTGCTGCTGCTGCCAGTGCTGGTGCTGCCGGTGCTGGGCCTGGTGCTTATGCTGGTGATACTGCTGCCAGTGCTGGTGGTGCTGCTAGCGTTGCTGGTGTTGGTGGTGCTGGTGTTGGTGATGCTTCCGGTGGCGGCGCTGCTGGTGCTGGTGTTGGTGGTGCCGGTGCAGCATCAGCATCTGCATCAGCAGCAGCAGGAGCAGGAGCAGGAGCAGGAGCAGGAGCAGCAGGAGCAGCAGGAGCGGCAGCAGGAGCAGGACCATCAACATCATCCTCAGCAGCAGCCGCAGCAACAGCAGCATCACCAGCCGAGCAGGGATCAGCCAGGGATGGAGAGGATGACTCGTTGCATCAGCAGCAGCAGCAGCAGCATCAGCATCAGCAGCAGCAGCAGCATCAGCAGCATCAGCAGGAGCAGCGGCATACTGGTGCGGAAGGTAGCACCCCTGAAACTGTAACCATGGCTGAAGGCACCACTCCTGAAACTGCATTCAGTGAACACAACCCAAGCAGACCTGCTCCCACTGGGGAAGCAAGGAGCGGGCAGGAAGGCTCGTTGCAGCAGCAACAGCAGCAGCAGCAGGAGCAGCAGCACACGGGGGGCGAAGGCACCACCCCTGAAACTGCGTTCAGTGAACACGCCCCAAGCAGGCCTGCTCCCACCGGGGAAGCAAGGAGCGGGCAGCAGGAGGAGCCTTCGCCTCCTCTTACTTCCCCTCCCGACGGATCTAGCAACGGGTTTAGTGAGCACCCCACTGCTTTCAGCGGGAACAACGCCAACAAGCAAGATACCGCCAGCGGAAGTCAAAATCCTACTGTGCCTTCTGAGCCTCCCTCATCTGCCTCCCCTGCGAAGGCCGTTCCCTCGCCTTACCCCCCTGCTGGGAATGCCGCTGGGAATGCCGTTGCCCCGCCCGTGGGGATGTTCACTTCTCCTGGAAATGCGTTCTCTGGTCCTGTCTCCCCTGGGGACCCTTTCTCCCCCCCGCATGCGGTTCATAAGGCGAAGATTAGACTAGTTGGGATGAAGAGAGAGCGGGAGGAGGAGGGGGGTGATGTGGGTGTGGGTGTGGGGCCGCTGGTGAGGGAAGGGAGGGTGGCGGAGGTTACTGTGACTGTATCCGCTGTGCCTATGAGGAAGTATTTGAGGAATGGGAGTGGGAGGGAGTTTGGGAGGGAGGGAGGCGGGGAGTGGGGTGGGGAGTGTGAGAGGGAGGATGGGGAAGAGGAGAGGAGGGAGGAGGGTATGGAGGAGGGGAGTGAGGATGGGGAGGAGGGAAGGGAGGAAGGGAGGGAGGAGGGGAGGAGGGAGGAGGAAGGCAGTAATGAGCATGAGCTTGGAACAGCAGCATGGAAACGAGGAGCTGAAGGGGAGGGGGGAGCAGAAGGAGAGGGAGGAGTAGAAGGGGAGGGAGGAACAGAAAGGGAGGGAGGAGCGGTAGGGGAAGGAGGAGCAAGAGGCAGAAGGGGAACACAGGGCGTGTGGGGAGCAGGTGGGGAATCTTCAGCGGCAGAAGCGGCAGCGGCAGAAGCGGCAGCGATGGCGCCAGCAGCAGCAGTGCCTGCTGCTCTTTCCAGAGGGAATGCTGACGCAGTAGCAGCTGCTGGTGGGGGTGGGGTTAGGAGGGAGGGGAACCCCGTTATTGATAGGGTAATGGCAGGTGAGGGGAGTGGAAGGGAGGTGATGGTAATGAGCCGTAGTGCTATGGTAGCTTCTGATGGGGCTGTGGTTGGTACAATTCCCGCTATTGCTGCCGCTGCTCCTGCTTCTTCTGCTGCTGCCGCCGCTGCTGCCGCTGCCGCCGCCGCTGCTGCTGCTGCTGGTGCTGGTGGTGCTGCAGATGGGGCACTGGTTGTAAGCGGTGCTGCGATTGCTGTTGCTGCGAGTGGCGGTGTTGCTGTGGGTGCGGGAGGGGAGGTGGGGGCGGAGGGGAGATTCATGTGCCTGGCGCCTGGGTGTGAGAAGACGTACAAGAACAGAGACAACATGAACAAACACTTTGCCAAGGTACGTTCACATCAAGTCGAGGGTGTGAGATGGTCTGAGGCGCGTCATTAGGTGACGTGACTGTCTAAGGTGGTGTGAGATGGTCTGAGGCGCGTCATTAGGTGACGTGACTGTCTAAGGTGGTGTGAGATGGTCTGAGGCGCGTCATTAGGTGACGTGACTGTCTAAGGTGGTGTGAGATGGTCTGAGGCGCGTCATTAGGTGACGTGACTGTCTAAGGTGGTGTGAGATGGTCTGAGGCGCGTCATTAGGTGACGTGACTGTCTAAGGTGGTGTGAGATGGTCTGAGGCGCGTCATTAGGTGACGTGACTGTCTAAGGTGGTGTGAGATGGTCTGAGGCGCGTCATTAGGTGACGTGACTGTCTAAGGTGGTGTGAGATGGTCTGAGGCGCGTCATTAGGTGACGTGACTGTCTAAGGTGGTGTGAGATGGTCTGAGGCGCGTCATTAGGTGACGTGACTGTCTAAGGTGGTTTGAGGCATCTCACTCACACGCTTTTGGTCTGGGATGGTTCATGTGCCTGGCGCCTGGGTGTGAGAAGACGTACAAGAACAGAGACAACATGAACAAACACTTCGCAAAGGTAGGTCACAAGGCGAGGGTGTGAGGTGGCGTGACAGTTGTCTGAACGGTGAAAGCAAAGATTCATGTGTGTGGCACCTGGGTGTGAGAAGACGTACAAGAATAGAGACAACATGAACAAACACTTCGCAAAGGTAGGTCACAAGGCGAGGGTGTGAGGTGGCGTGACAGTTGTCTGAACGGTGAAAGCAAAGATTCATGTGTGTGGCACCTGGGTGTGAGAAGACGTACAAGAATAGAGACAACATGAACAAACACCAAGGTACGTGCTCAGGTTGAGGGACTGAGATGGTTTGATAAGATTGGGAATGGTTGAGGATTCAAAAGCTGAGGGTGTAAGTTCGGAGACGCCCGTCTGTCCCTCATTTCTCCCTCCTTCCACCCCTCCTCTCCCGCCCTCAGGTGCACAGCAAGACAGCGCGCCTGTACGAGTGCAACTTGCTGCGAGTGGACGGGTCCTGACTGCGCGTCCTGCTCCTCTACAACCCCCCTTGTCCTACCTGCGTGGCGACTCAAATGACTCCCCATCCCTCTTCTCCCGCCCTCAGGTTCACAGCAAGACGGCTCACCTGTACGAGTGCAACTTGCTGCGGGTGGACGGGCAGTGATGGCTTATCCTGCTCCTCTCTTATGCCCCACATTCCTCCCCACAGGTTCACAGCAAGACGGCGCGCCTGTACGAGTGCAACTTGCTGCGGGTGGACGGGTGCTGACGGCTTGTGAAGGCTCATGAAAGCTTTTTCTGTTCCCCGTTCCTTGCTCTCTCTGCTGTCCTCAGGTTCACAGCAAGACGGCGCGCCTGTACGAGTGCAACTTGCTGCGGGTGGACGGGTCTTCATGTGACTTTAAAACACACGATGCAGGGAAGATGAGCAACCACAAGAAGTACAGTCTGGCGCACAACCGCAGAGAGGACTTCAAACACCCCTGCGAGTCGTGTGGCACTCGCTTCCCTCGAAGGTGCGTTGCTCGTTCGCTTCCTATGCCTTCCTGTGGGTACCAGTGGGTTCAAGACGCACGACGTTGAGAAGATGAGCAACCACAAGAAGTACAGTTTGGCTCACAACCGAAGAGAAGACTTCAAGCACCCCTGCGAGTCGTGTGGCACTCGCTTCCCTGGAAGGTGCGTGAGTGATCTTTAACAGTTGAGTGGAACAGAGTGTGGGTGGCAGACAGACACACGATGCGGGGAAGATGACATGAGCAACCACAAGAAATACAGCCTGGCACACAACCGTAGGGAGGACTTTAAGCATCCCTGCGAGTCGTGCGGCACGCGCTTCCCGAGAAGGTGCGTTGCTTGTAGGGCTTCCTGTGCCTTCCTGTGGCTTCCTGTGGCTTCCTGTGGCTTCCTGTGGGTTCAAGACGCACGATGATGGTGGGGAAGGTGAGATGAGCAACCACAAGCATTACAGCCTAGCGCACAACCGGAGAGAGGACTTCAAACACCCCTGCGAGTCCTGTGGCACGCGCTTTCCCCGCAGGTGAGTGAGTGATCTTTTACAGTTGAGTGGAATAGAGAGTGGGTGGCAGACACACGACACGGGGAAGATGAGATGAGCAACCACAACAAGTACAGCCTGGCTCACAACCGGAGAGAGGACTTCAAACAACCCTGCGAGTCCTGTGGGACGCGCTTTCCCCGCAGGTGAGTTGCTTGTAGGCTTCCTGTGCCTTCCTGTGCCTTCCTGTGGGTTCCTGTGGGTTCCTGTGGGTTCCTGTGCCTTCCTGTGGGATCCTGTGGGTTCAAGACGCACGATGATGGTAAGGAAGGTGAGATGAGCAATCACAAGAAGTACGGCCTAGCTCACAACCGACGAGAGGACTTCAAGCACCCCAGGCACGGGCTTGAGTCCAGTGGCACTCGCTTCCCAGGCACGGGCTTGAGTCCAGTGGCACTCGCTTCCCTTGAAGGTGAGTTGCTCTCACCGTGTGCCCCAGGCACGGGCGTGATCGCCACAAGCCGGCGTGCAAGGGTTCTTCCGCTGCTGCCACTGCCAACCACCAGCAGCAGCAGCACGCGCCTGGCATGGATGCTCCTGTTGATCCACCCTCAACCCCCCCCTCCCTCTCTTTGCACCTCATCTCCCTCACTCCTTCCCTCCCAGGCACGAGCTTGATCGGCACAGGCCGGCGTGCAAGGGTCCTTCTGCTGCCACCGCCAACCAGCAGCAGCAACAACAGCAACAGCAGCAGCAACAGCAGCAACAGCAGCAACAGCAGCAACAGCAGCAGCAACAGCAGCAACAGCAGCAGCAGCAGCAACAGCAGCAGCAGCAGCAACAGCAGCAGCAGCAGCAGCAGCAGCAGCAGCAGCAGCAGCAACAGCAGCAGCAGCAGCAGCAGCTGGTGAAATCAACCGTTCCCACCGTCACCGTTCTGACCACTGCCAACGTGCATTCCCTTGCTGACGTGGCTAATAACAACAACGTGGCAGAAACGGGCGGCGCAAACCAAACTTCAATACAGACAGCGAACCAAGCTTCTTTTCAAACCCAGATTCAAGGCTCCTTCCAGATGCAAAACCAGCCCTCGTTTCAAGCACCAAACCAAGCTGCCTTCCAAGCACCGAACCAAGCTGCGTTCCAGGCACTAAATCAGCCAAACCAAGCCTTGTTCCAGGCACCGAACCAAACCGCATTCCACCCATCGAACCAGGCTGTGTACTCAGAAGGAGTGAGAGGTTCGGGAGAGGAATGGGGGGTAGGAAACGAGGGGGGGAGAGTAGGAGGGGGAGGGGGAGGAGGAGGAGGAGGAAGAGGGAGGGGAAGAGGAGGAGCAGTAAGGGGTGCTTATAATGCCTTGCCTTCGGACGGTGCAACAATTCAGGGAGCGTTGAGGGGTTTGAAGATGGGTGCTGCTGCTGCTGCCGCTGGTGCTGGCGCTGGTGCTGGTTCTGGTGCTAGTTCTGGTGGTGCGTCCGGTGCTGCTGGTGCTGGTGCTGGTGCTGGTGGTGGTGGTGGTGGTACTGGTGCTGCTTCTAACGCTGCTCGTGCGGCACGTGCTGCTCATTCTGCCCGTGTTGCAAATGCTGCTGCAGCAAGAGGGGGAGGGCAGGGGATGGGAGGAGGAGCAGGAGGAACAAGAGGTGGAGGGGGAGGAGGAGGAGGGGGGATTGGGGCTGTAGGAAGGGGGGAGGGGGGAGGAGGAGGGATGGGGGGAGGAGAAGGGGTGGGGGAAAGGGAAAGTGCGGGAATGGGGGGAGAGATGGCTGGGGGAAGTCAAGAGGTGGGGGTGGTGCGGGGGAGGGTGAGGGGAATGGGCGGAGTGGGCGGGCTTGGGGGAATGGGCGGAATGGGGGGAATGGGGGGAATGGAAGATGCAGTGTTGAGTAGGATTCTAGAGGCTCATGGGATGGGGGGATTCGGGGGAGATGGCATGGGGGCATGGGGCGCGAGGGGAGGGGGCATGGGGGAAGGCATGGGGGGAGGCATGGGGGGAGGCATGGGGGGGCGGGGAGATTGGGGAAGGAGGAGCAGGGGCATGCGATGTGGGGGGGAGACGTAGATGCTGGGGTGATGGGCGCAGCAGGGGCAGGGGGAAGGGGAGGGGGAGGGGGAGGAGGTGGGGGAGGAGTAGGGGGGATGGGTGGATGGGAACATGCAGGGGGAGGGGGAATGGGGCCGAGAATGGGTGGTGCGGTTGGGATGGGAATGGGGGTGGAAGAAAGAGGAGGAAGAGGGGAGGCTGGAGGGAGGGCGGCCGGAGGTGGCAGGGAGGGAGCCTCAGTTTGGGGTTCGGGAACAGGCATGGGGACAGGTATGGCGCAGCAGTTTAGTATGGAAGGTATGAGAAGAGGTATGGGAAGAGGCATGGGAAGAGGTATGGTAAGAGGAATGGGAAGAGGTATGGGAAGAGGTATGGTGAGAGGAATGGGAGGGGGTATGGGAGGAGAGATGGAGGGAAGTATGTGGGGAGGGGCGGAAGGGAATATGGGGGTAGGAACGATTGGGGAAGGCATGATGGGGGGAGGAACGATGGGGGGAATGATGGGGGGAAATCCAATGGGGGGAGGCGCAGGGGAGTGGGGAACGGTTGGGAGTGGTGCTGCTGAGTCAATGATGATGATGATGATGATGCTGAATGGGGGGGACACAGAAGGGGATGGAGGCATGGGAGGAGGAGGGAGGGGAGGAGGAGGGATGGGAGGTGGTGGAGGAGGGATGGGAGGTGAAGGAGGGACGAGGGGAGGAGGGATGGGAGGTGCAGCAGGGATGAGAGGAGGAGGGATGGGAGGCAATGTGAGCATGGGTGGTATGGGGAGTGGCACGAGCGAAATGAATACCATGGATGGTGGGGGTACCATGGGTGGTGTGGGTGGTACCATGGGTGGTGTGGGTGGTACCATGGGTGGTGTGGTGCCAGATTACATGCCGAGCATGCCTCAACCCATGCACTCACCCCTGCATGCGCCCATGCATGCGCCCACCCATGCACCCACACACTCACCCATGCATGCACCCATGCCCCGTCATGTTAGCCCCCATGTGAGCCCCCACATGGGTCCCACTCACATGAGCGCCTCTCACATGGGCGCCTCTCACATGCATCATGCCATTCCGCCCATGGACTCATTGCCTGCATTCGAAGGCCATGAGGGCTCGGGGGGAACCCACCATAGGATGGGGGGTCGGCAGCATGGGGGCATAGGAGCAGCGACGGGGGGAGTGGAGGGGACAGGAATGGGGCAAGGGGTGGGGGAAGGGGGGTATGCGTTGGGGGAGCAGATGGGAGGAGGCCGCCATGTGTCTAGTTCGCAATCCTCCTTCCGTCCGACCGCACGGCATGCTTCGTCCGTTCTGCCACCCACCTCCTCCACCCCTCCACCCATCCCTCTATCCTCTACCGTCCCTCCTCCTCCTCCTCCTCCTCCTCCTCCCCCTCCTCCTCCTCCTCCCACCACATCCCTGGGTTTCTCGGAACATTCCTCACGGCTGCAGCTCTCCCTTACTACAGTCCCCTCACCCGCACCTGTGTCAATCTCTGCTTGCGCCCCAATTCGTGGGGTTCGCTCGGGGCTAGGCGTGGGAGGAGGGGGAGGGTTTGGGGATATGGGTGCGGGAGGGGGCGGTGGCGGCGGTGGGTCTTTTGCTGGTGACGCGTGTGCACCAACTTTGGTGAGCTTTTCTCTTGTTCACATGCTTGGTAGTTAAAAGCTTGCCTTTCATTGCCCTTATTGTCTTCTATTTCTTTTGCTGACTATGCTGTGGTGATTTCTGTACTCGCAGGACCTACTGAAGTGGTGATATCTGTCTCGCATCCGTACAATGTCACCTCTGTCACTATTCTTCATGGCAAGTTAGGAACTGCACAAGTGAAGCAGGTTTAATGCACTGCTTTAGGTTGCATGGTGCAACATGGCTACATGGCTCCATGCCGCATGATGTGCTTGAAGTGCACATGGCTGTAACCACCCGTTTTGTGTAAATAGCTTCCAAAACCTAATGTTTTGCTCCCATGCTAACTCTTTGATAATGTCTTGAGCGTTTCGAAGAGTTGGTTTGCTATTTATGAACCATGTGTTCAAAATGCTGCGGTAACATTACGTTGTGCAAAACGAAACCATGCTAGCCGCCTAAAACCCAGCTGAACCGCAAACAACGCCGCTTCTGAAACACAATTCTGGGATCCCCAAAACGAGGAATTGTTCCCAAGGATCAGAACGAGTTGAAAACGGTTGTGCAGAGTGAACAGGGTTTTTAAAAAGGTTCAGTACGGTGGAAAGTGATACCTGGCCACGTACCCCTATTTCCTCACACCGTGAGGGGATGCTGCAGGGGGACACCGCGAAAAGACCGCCATTAACGTACTGCACCGTACATACTGAACCTTGAACCGAGTAGATATTGCTGTCTTGGGTCCAGTCTCGACTCTCATCCGTAAGAAACGGCTTCATGGTGACGTTTTGTAGCGTCCTCGTTATCGCAATACCTGCCACGTGTCGCCCTCACGTTCGCATGGCCAGCTACTCACAAGTGGGTCAGGCACCCCGCGGGTGTACTCATCGCGCAACGCCATGGTTTATGATGTCGCTCCTTGCGCCTCGACTCCTGTACTAGTAGCGAGACCGCAAATGCGCAATGCTCGAGAATATCCTTTCGAGTCGCCGCGCGAGAATAATCTCAGGGTGTTTTTGTGCGCCTCGGCGTGGTCGGATCGCAGATGTGTCATTCATACCCGCGAAAATGAGTCATCTCCGAAGCAGCGTCGTTGTGGGAAACGGGGAAAAAGGGTGGTGGAGGGTGGTATGGCACACCGCAAAAGGATTAGGTTTGGGATTGACAGCTGGCAGGCCCCTGCTGCCACCCAACTGCTGACTAGACTATCGTGGCTGGCTGTTACGGCTGCGTGCTCGACGCGCCTCGAAAAGGAAAACTTTAGTACTTACGCTGGTACCCGTATGTGCGAGTTTGCGAATGGTATATGTGATGGTTTGTTCTCGTTTCGTCCCAATTAATATCTACTGTCGGGACGGCTGGTGACGGCAGCTTGACGGCTTCAGACGGAAATGGCGGAGGCAGATACCAGCAGCGCAACAGTGCGGACAAAAAACAAGGGCAAGCGAGTTGCTACTAGATTTAAGAGCACGGTGTCGGAAATCCCGAGGGGTCGTGAGCTGGAACGGCCGCCGGCAGACGCGGTGACTCGCGTGCGATTCGGATTCTCATCCAAGCGGCTGCTCTGCTGCTCGTGGGATGGGGTGAGTGCAACGACTAGGGTAGGGTGACACGTTGGAGTGAATGGGTGTGTCTGTGGCTAGAAACCCTCTGATTGGATTGGATTCGTGTCCTGTCCACCCAGTCTGACCTGCTGCTCGTGGGATGCGTTGAGTGGATAGGCGTGTTGCTAGGATGATGGATAAGATAGGCTGATTGGGTCCGACAGGAAGAGTGGTTAGAATGACGAGTGGACGAGTGCGTTGACTTGGTAGGCTAGAATCCTCTCAGGTCGGATTCACGTCCTCTCGGCTGCCCTATGCTGCTCGTGGGATAGGGTGGTGAGTGGATGTGCGAGTGACTGGGCTGGGTCGTTGGGGTCGTTAGGTGTGTGTGCCTATGGCTAGCAACTCACTCTTGCTGCTCTGCTTCTCGTGGGATGTGGTGACTCTTGAGTTGACTCAATCGCCCTGCACTCGTACTTGTTTTCCTTCTGTCCGTTTGATTCAGTCTTAATCCTGATCGTGTGGTCCAGATCCTGCGACTGTACGACGCGGGCGCAACCACAGGGCATCTTCACACCCAGCTCTCCCACGCGCACCTTCGAGGAAGCTTCCATGGGGATTTGGAAAGGGGTGGGGGAGATGAGAGCGTTCAGAAGCTTCCAGGAAACTGGGAGGAAGGGGATGTTTCGTCCCACGTGGCAACTGCTCCTCTGCTTGACTGCTGCTTCGTGGGGCCCAGTGATGACGTGGCAGCTGCTGCCAGCGTGGACCAATCAGTGACGAGGTACAGTATGGCCTTAATTATGCTATGTCAGGGTGAAAACAATCCCATGGCTTTGGTGGTTTTACTTTCATTCACGTTCATATCTTCACATCATCATATTTCCTAGTGAAAACGAGTTTACCTATCACGATGCCTCCTTGCCCTCTTTTCCAGATTTGATTTGGAGAGGCAGGTGGGGAGTGTGCTGGGAAGGCATGAAGGGCCGGTGAGGCGACTCGAGTACAACCTCCCCCTGGGTGAGACGATTCTACATACCACCTTCCCCTGGTGGGAGAGAAGGTTAAAGATACCACCTCCTGCTTGGTGATTTGGAGAAGCAGGAGGGGAGTGTGCTGGGAAGGCATGAGGGGCCTGTGCGGCGACTTGAGTACAACCTTCCCCTGGGTGAGTACAACCTCCTCCTGGGTATTACCTTTTGAGGCGACTTCAATACAACCTCCCCCTGGGTGAGACGATTGGATGAGACGATTTTACAAACCACCTACCGTTGTTAAAAATACCACCTCCTGATTTGGAGAGGCAGGTGGGGAGTGTGCTGGGAAGGCATGAGGGGCCTGTGCGGCGACTTGAGTACAACCTTCCCCTGGGTGAGTCAAACAGGTATTACCTTTTGAGGCGCCTTAAATACCACCTCCCCCTGGGTGAGTCAAACCTAGGTATTACCTTCTGAGGCGCCTCGAAAGTGTGGTGGGAAGGCATGAAAAAGGGGCCTGTGAGGCGACTTGAATACAACCTTCCCCTGGGTAAGACAAGTCTACGTACCCCCTCTTCCCAAGCTATTTTGCTTAATCTCAATCCATTATCAAGCCATGTGCGCGCGCACACACACCTCTTCTGATTCAACTCAAATGTCATCCCTGGGTTCCTCTTATTGTTGCAAGGTTGCTTGTATCAGGGGGGTGGGACCACACCGTTCATTTTAAAGCCATGTGCGCACACCTCTTTTGAGTCAACTCAATACTCATCCCTGGGTTCCTCTTACTGTTGCAGGGTTGCTCGCATCAGGGGGGCGGGACCACACCGTTCGTTGCTGGGACATGCGCGTCCCTCACCTGCTGTTGCCACTGTCTATCCCCCACCATCTCCCCACTGTTAACATTACAAAAATCATATGTTATGTGCTTTCCCCCATCACTGCAGGGTTGCTCGTATCAGGGGGGTGGGACCACACCATTCGCTGCTGGGACACGCGCGCTCCTGCCGCTGCTGTTACCACTCTTCCTGCCGCTGCTGCTGCTCCTGCTGCCGCCACCATCGCCGCTTCTGCTCGTGCTCCTGCTGCCGCCACCATCGCCGCTTCTGCTCGTGCTCCTGCTGCCGCCACCATCGCCGCTTCTGCTCGTGCTCCTGCTGCCGCCACCATCGCCGCTTCTGCTCGTGCTCCTGCTGCCGCCACCATCGCCGCTTCTGCTCGTGCTCCTGCTGCCGCCACCATCGCCGCTTCTGCTCGTGCTCCTGCTGCCGCCACCATCGCCGCTTCTGCTCGTGCTCCTGCTGCCGCCACCATCGCCGCTTCTGCTCGTGCTCCTGCTGCCGCCACCATCGCCGCTTCTGCTCGTGCTCCTGCTGCCGCCACCATCGCCGCTTCTGCTCGTGCTCCTGCTGCCGCCACCATCGCCGCTTCTGCTCGTGCTCCTGCTGCCGCCACCATCGCCGCTTCTGCTCGTGCTCCTGCTGCCGCCACCATCGCCGCTTCTGCTCGTGCTCCTGCTGCCGCTGCCACTGCCGCCATTGCTGCTGTCTCGATTCCTCTCGCTGCTAGTGCTGCCTTCTCACAACCGCCCATTCAACCCCTCGTGAGGGAAGTCGGAACCAGAAGTTCAATATCCGTTTCTGAGGCGCCTGAGAATCGTCCTCCTTGTATTGGTATCACTTCAAATACGCAAATGGAGGGCGCGGGACAACACATGGTTGTGGAGATGGGCAGTAGGGTGGATTGCCTGTCGTCTTTAGGGCAGCACAGGCTGCTCGTGGCGACGGCGAATCGCCACGTGGCGGTTTACGACCTGCGCCACGTGGCGAGGCCAGAGGCTGCCACGTGGCACCACGGTGGCAGTGGTGACGTGGCATGTGGTGACGTGACACGTGGATTGGTGGTTAGGGCTAGCTCGTCGCTCCGGCAGCAGACGAGATGTGTTGCCGGGATGCCCGATGGCTCAGGTGGGTCTCTGTTGGCTCAGGTGGGTCTCTGCTGGTTCAGGTTGTTCTCTGTTGGCACGAGGGGGCGCGTTCAATTGAAACAATATATGGTTGTATGTGGCACCTGCTGTTATCGTTTCTGTTCTTCGAAGTTCCTTGAGCCTTTTAGTGTATCTTCTACCCATCCATACATCCATCCAATTGATGCACGTCAGGGTTCTATCTTGGATCAATGGACGGTCGGATGGCATGGAACACAGTTGATAGTGACAGGATAATCTCAAGGTACTGTATATGGGAAATAGCAAATAAGAAGTATCAAATGGCATATAGTTATGAGGAGTGTGAATATACATGTGCCGCTGCCCCTCCTCCATTCTATCCTCCTTATGAGCAGGTTCACGTTTGCCTGTGAGCATCAGATGACATCTGGCACCGGTGCTATCTCGCCCGTCAATTCTATAGCCATCAACCCCCGGTAAGTTACTTTCAGCAGATTATAACATTACATGTACAAGTGAAATATCTACACTATCGTTCTGGTGTACTGCTAGGGTTAGATAAGAGTCAGTTCAAAAGTCACCACACCCTCTCTCCTGCCACGCACCACCCGTCCCTCTCTCATTTCCACAGGACCCGCTCCCTTGCTACAGGATCGTGTGATGGGGTGCTGGACCACTGGAGCACCACAGCGCACGGCAGCAAGTATCGAAAGGTACTGTTGGTGGTCTGGGCGTCTCTTGAGTCTGCTTGTAGTTTGCATCAACACATTACAGGATCATGTGATGGGGTGCTGGACCACTGGAGCAGCGCAGCACACGGCAGCAAGCATCGAAAGGTGGGTAGTTTTGTTCATGGCCTCACATAACATCCATCTGTTCACAGCACCGTGCGCAAACCATAGAGTAACTTTTCCATCAAATTCAGCCATGACGGATCACTCCCATCCCCATCCTCCCATATCTACACTCCCATGTTATGCCATCCCCACACAATTAGCCATGTGTGCACTCCGTGTGTTATCCAACGAGCCTCCCGTCCATCATTTCAACCGTGATGGTTCCTTCCCTGCTGCAGGCGCTCCTTACATAGCAGTTCCTTTTGCTCCCATCTCCACACTCCCATCTCCACACTCCCATCTCCACACTCCCATCTCCACACTCCCATCTCCACACTCCCATCTCCACACTCCCATCTCCATACTCCCATCCCCTTGGCCACACCTCCATACAGCCATCTGTGCGCAGCACCATGCGCAATCCAACGAGCATCTCTCCATCAACTTCAGCCATGCTTCGAGCACTCCGCCCATGCCCGTGCTCCCATCACCTCTCTTCCATGTCATCTCTCCTTCAATTTCAGCCATGATGACTTGACCCCACATGCAGTTCCTTTTGCTCTCCCATCTCCACGCTCCCATCCCCATGCTTCCTCGTCCATGCAGCCATCTGTTCACAGCACTGTGCACTATCCAACAAGCATCTCATCCATCGATTTCAACCATCACGGATCACTCCTTGCTGTGGCCGCCAGTTACATCTTCGAGAAGGCTGTCGGATTCATGGAGTGAGTGGTTTTCGTATTGACATGATTTTGTTCCAGTGTTACGGTTTCCTTTGCTTCTAGCTGTGGCCTCCAGTTACATCTTTGAGAAGGCTGTTGGATCATGGAGTGAGTTCTCTTAAAAATTGGTGGTGGGAGAGTTATGGGCATGGAGTTGAGTTTGAAGCATATAGTGGTATGAAGTTTTGTTGACATAATCATGCCGTACTGATACTCTTATCGTCACTTGGTTTTGCAGGCACACTCCAGATGCAATCTATGTTCAAGACATTGGATGAGTGTGCACTAATCGTTACTGTATCATAGAGATCGAAGATGTGTTAACTTGTTATCGGTGTAACTGAAATGATGATGCTTTCGCAAAGCTAACTACCGGCACTGTACCAGTACAAGAGTCAGGATTACGGCATGTAAGACAAAATGTCAGTGACTATACTATTCTAGTACATACATGAATACTACCGTATTACCCCGGATATAGGCGCATCTGCGCTTATAATAAAATCGGTTTTTATTAGGGGTGGCGCTTGTAATTGAATCACGGCCATAAGCGCCGGCGCTTATAAAATGACAAGTACAGAAATACAACTTAAACGCATCAAATTGTACATTTCAGTCTTGTAATTTTGATCGAGTCAAAATTTATAGCGTCCTCAATCAGAATCGCGTGAGGGCGATTCTCTGACGCTGCACATAGCTTTTGGCACGTCAATTTTGTTGGAAACAACAAGTCGTAAGCGCCTCTGTCGTGTCGAAACACTGCACCAGAAGCGAAGTGAGCCATATCGAAGCACCAGCGAGTCAACCCTAGGAGGTTGAGAAGTTGCTGGAGGTTACGCGAAAGTCAAAGGTCAGCGACCTTTGACCCGACAAGTACAGCGCGACAGCAAGGACACACAACTGACTCGCTACAGAGCAGTTGCCCGAGTCGTCACTGTATCGAACCGCAACAGCAAACAGCAAAAGTAGTTACAACTGTATCCTTTCATATTCCTTGTAATCTTATATATATTCTTGTATCTTCTCGTTTTAATTAACTTACTTTGCCCTCACATACCAGCGCAAGGTGGTTCACAAGTACTTCACTAAAACGCTTCCGCTATTACATAGTCCTATCGGAGTTTACCCCTGCAAAGATCCTAAGGGCTCTTCTCAGCCCAACATGGCATGAGAGCTAACGGGGGAAATTCCACTACTACCAAGTCATTAAATACATTTCAAGACATGGCAACACAGAAGGATAGGAGCTCATCTAACGGCTCTCCCGGGACTACTCCTACCCCACCTCCTGCCTCTGGCCTGCAGACAGAGGAAGGCACGGCAACAAGACCCAGAGCAACGTCAACCGAGACTCCCGCGAATCAACCTGCCAGCTTCGACCAGAGTATGATGGAGAAATTCTTCTCCTTCATGTCCTTCTACGAGCAACACCAGCAGTCGGTACCTGCACTGTCAAGCAACATCAACAACAATCATGAGGCGACACCAATGAGCCTCGACGGCACATCATATGCGCGCGGAAATCAACAGCAGCAACCCACCTTTGCTCCGTACGAACGCGGGTCCATCAGCTTCATGCCGCACCCGCAAGCTTCACCTGGACAAGAAAGGCCACTAGACGCACTGCATGTCCAGTCGCAATTCGCACACGTCTTGAAACTGCAGACGTCAAGGCCCTTCGACGGCAAGGACTTCTTCACTTGCTCGTTTGAGTTCGAGCTCATGATGGAAGGCGCGCAGATACTCGGCTTCTTCGACGGGTCCCTGCATTACCCAACGAACGGCTCACAATATGAGAAGCAGCAGTATACGTATCAATCGATGATGGCGTATACGATTCTACTGAGGAACTTCACGCCAACGCAAGCAGCAGAACATACGCTCTTACCGGGGTTACGGCAACTCCGCTGAGCTCGCGTACAGCCACCTGAAGAACCTGTATCAAGCAACAGACAGTGTAAACTTGAGCAAGTTAATGGCGCAGTTGACAACAGTCGAAATGAAACCAGGAGAGAAGGGAATGGCGTATATCAGCCGATGTCGCGAGCTGCGCGACAGGCTTCTTCGATGCGGAGGGTCCATATCTGAAGACGCCTTTGTGACGGTCATCATCGGCGGTCTCGGGCCTCAATGGCGCGCAACCAAAGCCATCCTCCGAGCCCACGGAAGAATCTCTGAAGCAGCGCTCTGTGCAGAAATCTACGCGGAACAGCAAGACATGGACCTGCAAGAGGAACGACACAAGAAAAGGGGATCAGCACCGGAGTTCGCATTTCACACTCAATGGCGTTATAACAACAACAACACCCGGCATCAACCGAAACCCGTACCTCCCTTCTGCCACATCTGCAAGACATCGGGACATCCACGCACGCACTGCCCGAATCGTCAACAGTCAACGACTCCACTGCAGCGGCAACTTCGGCCTTCGAGCAACCAAGTTGCTTCAACACAAGCAAATCTCATGACTCAAGTTCAAACTTTAACGACGCCAACAGGACAACCTGCACAAGGAACAAGAAACATCGTCAGCTGCATGGCAAGACTGAACGATTCTTGCATCACAGAATCACCACCGTACTACTCACCAGAAGAACAACTCGACGAAACGACACCTCGCCGCGAGTCACTTCAGCCGAACCCGACATACGCCGCCATCGCCCAAAGCGAGCCATCCGGGAAGGACACCTGGTTCTTGGACAGTTGCTGTGGACAACACATGTGTTCTTCAGGACGCTTCGTGCAGCGAGAATATCAGCTTCAACGAGAGGTAGTCATCACCGTCGCCAACAACCAGAACCTGCGCACACGACGACAAGGGGTTGTACAACTTCAGTCACGAGAAACAAACGTGATTCTACAAATGTCGAAGGTCTTAATCGCAGAAGGCCTCGGCTACAACTTACTGAGCGTCAGTCAACTGATGGCGAAGGGTATTCACCTTGAAGCAGACAGCACAACTCAGGAGTTCAAGCTGTACCACGGGAGAGGAGGTCTCTACATCGGCAAGGCGGTCCTCAAGAACAACGTCTTCGTTCTTGACTTCGTCCCCGATCTTGGCACTGCCGACAGCGACGCCATCGTCAACTTCACCAACTGGACACACCCTCCAGATCTTGACCCAGACTTCAGTCCCGGCGGCTTCTGGCACTCTCACACAATACCTGAAGCAGAAAGAACGAGAGCGTTAGCAACGATTCAACATTCAGCAGCATAAAGAACATCAGCAGCAGCAGAAACAACATCGGCAGCAGCAGAGACAACATCGGCAGCAGCAGAGACAACAACGGCAGCAGCAGAAACAACAGCAGTAGCAGCAGAAACATCAACTCCAGTCGCTGGTCTTTCAACGGCACCGCCCTTCATTGATAACACGCCGCCAACACCGGCGCAGCAGCTTAACCCGGCACCACGGGAAGCCCACAGAAGCGCCAACATCTCCGCCGGCTTCTACTCCAACTCCGACATGTACCGACGCTCGCCAGGACACCGCGCCAGCGAAGAAATCTGGCACGCAAGGATGGGACATCCAAGCAACACAGTGTTAAACAACACGATAAGAGCAGGAACACTCGATAAATATTCACTCTTACTGATCGACGGCAGAGAACTTCAGCGAGCCCGTGGAACGTGCTTCACCTGTCCTGAAGCTGACTTACCGCATCAGCCGTTCGTCTCGCATCACAATCCAAGCGCACCTGCATACGCACCACTCGAGAAAGTGTACAGCGACATCTTGTACAACCGCGAACCCGGACAAAACGCGTATAACTACACCATCACCTTCATCGACGCCGCCACACGTTACGTCTGGCACCTAAATTTACCAAGCCGCGACATGGCCTTCGAGGCTTTCGTAGCATGCCTTCCAGCAGCAGAACGAGAATCGGGAGTTAAGCTCAAAAGCTTTCAGTCAGACGGAGGAGGAGAATACTCGTCACAGCGGTTCAAGCAGTATCTGGCAGAAAGGGGAATCAAGAGACTCATCTCCCTTCCCTACGCCCATCAACAGCAGGGTGTAGCAGAAAGGATGAACAGGACCCTACAGAACACCATGCGCAAACTGCTACGTGGCATGCGGCTACCCAACCACCAGTGGCCCGAAGCAATGGACCACGCCGTGATGCTGCACAACTTGCTTTCTTCGTCGTCACTCCCGAACAATGCATCACCGCATCTGCTGTGGACAGGAAAATTGGGCAGCACAAAAATGTTACGAGTCTTCGGCTGCATGGTACAGTACCGACCCCCATCTGCACGAGCCGGCCGATTCTCCCAACGCGCACAGTGGGGACTACACCTGGGCATCGAAAAACATTACAACGCATGGAAAATCTTCGACATCAACAGCAAAGAAACAGTAGCAGCACGTGATGTCATTTTCTACGAGCGACTCACACTGCCAACGTACCTTGCCAACCTGGACGAAAACCGAGACCCCACAGGTGGCTTTCGTGGAGATCGAGCCTTCGCTTCGGCAGGAGACGAAGCTGACTGGGACGAGCAGAACGTGGAAGGAGCCTCGGAAGAAGCCGGACCTCTCCCCGACTGCTCAGTCGATATACCAATGGACGAAGAAAACCCTCGCGAAAGCGTCAACGCCGAAACCTACTACCACTTCGCCGACAACGGTTACGTTACACCTGCTGAAGTCAACACCAACGAAGCAGAACGCATAGGGCCCAACTTCGCACCTGATCCAGAAGCTGGAGACGAAGCAGTCTATCCCGAGGACACCACACTTCCCCGCTACACACAGAGTGGACTTCAGATACTCGGGCTCGTCACCGCAGTCCACGGCGCCGCCATTCCTAAGGAGCCTGCAACGGTTCAGCAGGCTCTGGGGGGGGAGCACAGGGAAAAATGGCGCGAAGCCATGGACAAGGAGCTGAAAGCACTGGAGGAACGCAACACCTGGAAAATCGTTCCTATCGGCGTAGCACGGAACAAGACCATTCTCACCGGGAAATGGGTCTTCCGTGTGAAGACGAAAGCAGATGGCACCATCGACAAATTCAAGGCGCGCTGGGTCGTACGCGGCTTCGACCAAGAGCACGGACGCGACTTCACCGAAACCTTCGCTCCGGTCAGCCGACACACCTCACTACGCATTCTCCTCGCGATCGCCGCCATGAAGAAGAAGAAGCTGCGACAAATCGACGTCGCGAACGCATTTCTCTACACACCCGTTGACGCAGAAATTTTCGTGGAACTACCACACGGTTCCAGCACGGACTCCACGCACGTCTGTCAACTACTCAAGTCACTCTACGGCATCAAACAAGCCCCGAGACTGTGGCAACAAT